TGTTTGTTGCATGATCGATTTTTGGTGACATACTGCGCCTGTCATTTGTGAATTTCTCTCTCATTCGCTGTAGCGCTTGGTAATCGGTCAAATTAGCAAACAATACGAATTGACTGTCGTTATTTATATTGGATATCGCAAATGAGACACACACAGAGAGAGAGAGGCAGAGATATCTATGTACGTACAAAATTCAAGAAAACATCCAAATCAAAATCGCACTAAATTATTGACTTGGCGTTTTTAAATGGTTGGAGCCATTTTCTTCTTTCTTCGTCGCTTTTCCATATCGGCTGATGTCACGGTGCATTCATTTTGCCATGTTTTTGCTTATTTTCAAGAAAATAAAAAGGCGAAGGGGAAAAATAAAATCATTGTACATATTTGATTTGTCGTCGATTAATATTGATGCTCGCTCTCGCTCGCTTCAAGTTTCATCTGTGCTGTCAGCTATGATTAATATCATGATTTCTATGCTGCATCTATTTTGATCATACGATGCTCGCGGCGATGAGGGCCAATCGATCTTCACACATACATTCATTTATGTGTACAACACATTATACACCGTTAAGAGTTCATTGAGTGAATGAGCTACGATGTGCAAATTAATTTGTCGTTAAAAATCAGCAATAAACATTACGCGCCGATTTACTCATTTATTTATCAGTTGAGTGAGTACATATACATTGATCATGTCTGTTGCTTTGAAAAACAAAGAGCAAAAATGTGTGTGTGTGTGTGTAAATAAAAGTCGTAAAATATCGGTTTTTATTCAGCAGAAGTATAACTATTATTTGTTGTGCGTCGTTGAAAACAACTTTCTCAACGAAACAAAATCGATAAATGACGACGGCTATGATGATGATGACGATGACGATGACGGATGACCAACGGCATCAACAAAAATGATAATTTCACATGCATCATTTGACGTTCATTCAAAGAGTGTGTAAAATGTAAGATGCATCTTCATATGTTGATCGAAACCACATCGCATTATAAGTTGTGTGTTCCGTATATCTATCGCGAAAAAAAAACACACACACAATTGGCAACGAGAACTAAAAATACACAATGGAAATTGGTACATGTGCAATGATGACACTCGAGCGATGAGCGAGCACTCACGACCATCTCAAATGTAGTGCACATACTGTATGAAGTAAATATGCCTCCTGTCGCAGATACCAATCATACACACACTTACATCCGAGTGCAAAATATTCAACATAATGTTTGTTAGTCAAAGCTTTTGCACGCTGATTGTTTTTTTCTTTCTCTTCTCTTCTCGTTTTTTAATGTTGCAACGTGTTATTTTTTTCTTCTTTTCTCATTCTCTTTGCTTGTTTTAAATGGTAATGATGTTTCCATTGGCATCCCCGTTTTGGCATTGCATAAATTTCACATGGCATCGTAATTTCATTCATTCACGCGCTATGCTTTCGCACTTCCCATCCGTACATTTAATGAATTAATGCAAAAGAAAAGCAAGCAAAGTCTTGGGAGTAAATTAATTTATTTCCGAATCAGAAGCATTAAAATTGAAATTTATACAGTTTGAGGTTCGTTTTCGATGCGAATTTTTTTTCTTCTTCTTCGGTATGTTAACTGGCGGCAACGTTGACGATTTGTGTGCAATGAATAGTGGGAGAGAAAATGAATTGTTTCGTTCGATTCACCTTTCGGCGAAATTCCAAACACACATCAAACATATACGATTATTCTCGTACGCGCGTACGAGACAGTGAAATATGATATGATATGATAAAGAGAGAGAATATTTTTCCAAAAGCATCCCATGTACCGAAACAGAACGTTATAAGTAAAAATGAAATGGTAATATGTGTGCTTGAGCGCGTAGTTTTTTCCTATCTACTCATTTCACCGCATATTTGTGTGGATTAATCACTTTCAATTCATTCGCATAGAATTTCCATTTACTAACTTCGGGGAAAAAAAAACTTTTAACTTTCATCACCTGCAACACGTTTACGACGATTATAAGACAACGCAAACGAATGAAATGAGCGCAAACTAACACATATATAATGAAGTTTCTTATCGTCAAAAAGTTTTTTGGCACTCGTCTCAATTTCAAAGCGAGCTTTGATTATTATCATTTTTGATGGTTAATTTATTATGTGATGGGATCGATGGAACACTTTTTTCCTTCTCTCCAGAGTGCATGTGTGTGTGTGTGAATCATCACCATCAACATCGAAACGGTGTAATATTTTTGCTTTGCATTTTAGTTTAAAACTTAATGAAGGCAAAAAGAATGAGAGAAAGAGAGAGAATTCGTTCGATATAATAAATTTTGTTGATAGTAGGTAGATATATTGTTTCATAGCATGAACATAAAATCAAATGATTTTACACCGAAAATAAAAATAAAATTAAAAAAAAAAACCCACAACAACAAAATGAAGAAATAGAACGAGGCAAATGAAATAGTTCAATGACTGTAAGGTGTTTTGTAAATTTGGAATTACCTACGTTGAATGTCCGACGCGTTGAGTCTAATTCAGTCAATGAAGCCGCCGCATTTGCTTTAAATTTTTGCCCAACGGCTAAAAATGCAAAACAAATTATTTAATTTTTGAGCATCAAAAATATTTTATGCTTTAACCTGAACGGATACATTTCCCGTTGCACATAGGTATTTTAAGAATGGTCCGTTTGCTCGATGTGTGTGTGTGTGTGAACAAAAACAAACATATATGTAAATCGTTGAGATACATTTTTAATATGCAATGTGCTCAAATATTTAAACGAATAGAAATTTCTAATAAAGTGGGACGAAATCTAATATGGACACACAATATATATGTGTGTGCGCCCATGATACAAGGAAGTCGTTCTTAACTAAAATTAAACTCAATAAACTTCACACAAAACGATATGCATACATTGGTTCGCCAAACGAGAGTCGAGCTATGTTTATGCTGTTGGTGCTGCTGTTACTGTTCCGTGCAAACCAAACGAAAACGTTTTGAATACACATAAATCGTATATTACATTGTAATTATACGCATCGCATCGCACGAAAGAATTTTCCTTCCATGGCTCACACCGTACACCGTTTATTCCATTCTATATATCTCTCTCTCTATTTCCCTTCATTGGTCGCCCATTCCATTCCTTATGAATTATTTGTGTTGATACTTAACATTTTCGAAATACTGGAAGTTATGCTCTTGCTTATGCAAACTACAGAACGTGTTGTGTATTGGCTATGCAACCACTGTCTGAATTCACTGTCAGATAGAGATGGTACGCCGTATGTGCTTCGAATACAAACTTTGATTGCTCACCTTTATTGGGCTAGACATACTGTTCTATTCATATTGCTGTGGATGAATGGAGATATCGAAACAAAGAAAGAAAGGGAAAGATAGATGGTGAGGAAGAGAGAGAGAGAGAGATCTCTTTTCTTTCGCTTTAATTTGCATCTGATTAAGGGCAAACAATTACGGTTGCCAAAGAATTTGTGCATGAAGTTATATCTATTTTATTGGGCGACCGTCTTATTTATATGGCACACGTTATGCAAACAAATTTTCAGGCAGTCAGAGCGCAAAAATTTTTTGCATTTCCTAATTGAGTTTAAGGTATACAGTCACAGAGAGAGAGAGAGAGAGAGAGAGAGAGAGAGAGAGAGAGACCGAATTAGAATACATAAAATAATAACATTAAACGCACATCTACGGTGAAAGAGAGAGAGAGCAAGCGAGAAATACGTGTTTATGTATATATCAATGCGAAGCAATTCTGTGTACCGTTTAACGAAGAGCGTGCCACGATTTGGATCGTTAACCATAAAATAATAGTCTCTAACCAAACATGCCTTTTGTTTAACAATTCAGCACTTTTTGGACAATTCGCCGACACCTCATTCAATTCAAACCGGCACAATTTTAACAACTAAATTTATTTATAGTTTAAAGAGATTTTATTTTATCTACGGATCACTCTTCCCAATATTATTCGATAAATATTTCAATGGCATTAACAATGATTAAAATTTTATGTGCACATCATCACTTATGGACCTTGGGTTGACACTCAATATACGACGTATCCATCGTTCTGTGTAAAATGCCAATCTGAAAGTTGGAATTACATCATCTCATAATAAATAGAAAATATGACATATCTATTGGTGAGAATATGTTTTGGGTTGTCAGTGATAAGAGATGATGAACAAGTTTTTGCATTGAAGCCACATTTTTTCAAAGGTCATTTTGTGTCGTTTACATTGTTTCTGATCAGGGGTCCAAGGCATAGTTCCTGGACTTAAAATGTTAGAGGGGAGGGGTGTGTTGTTACAATACCGTTGTAGTAAGCGAGAAAGAATCACGAGAAGTGTACTTCTATCCAGTGCAAACTTCAGAAAACACTATAACAATCCAACGAAATCGAAAGAGTTTTCCCCGTTTCCGAAAAATTTATTTCCAAAAAAAAAGTCTTCAATTTTCCCAAAACCCCCAGAAAATCTGGATTACTCAAAATTCACGATTTTTGAAAGTAAATCGTCATTGGGTAATTTGACCTCTCCACCCCTGGTCAGAAGCGATGATACAAAGGGTCACCGTTTTTGCCAAGAAATTTCTTTCCGAGGGTTTTAACAAATTTAAATTTATACTCTTAGATTTTTAAAATTATTTACCTGCCCCTTGATCTCCAACGTCAGAATCTATCGACAGCTCATCTATCGCCCAGTGCGTAATTTAAAAGAGGGCAAAGAACATACGTTACCATGGAAATGAGCAAATTTATTTAGATTATGTATCAAAATTGCTGTCATTCAAATGAATTCAAAACAAAGGACTTGACACTTCAATGGAGAAATTCCAATTAATATCCAAAGCCAATGTATCCATATTATGGATTATATGGCTTTATTAATTCAATTCTCATCAACAATAGTGGTCAATTTGATTTTAATACTTCTCTTTCCATTCATTTATTCTAATATTAAAAAAAAGAGTAAAACATTGTTATGTACTTGTACACTTCGATTTATAGTCAATTATGATACAAATTGTGCCGCTGGCTAAAATCTGAAATGCTTGAATGGTATAAAGGCGTTCCTTTGAGAACTTGTGAATTTGATTCTGTTATGTCTACGACAACAAAGTTGCCCGGTTTTATTGGTTGTTTTGCATCCATGTCATGTCGTTGTGCCGATTCGTAATCTTGGTATATTTCAGCATTGGCGGGAATGATTACTTTTGTATTCGATTCATTTCGTCCGAAATACGCATCGTTCGATTTTTTGCTTGTCTGTGAGAAAATGTCAAATGGAAAATTTATCATCAAGTCGATATGACCTTGCTGCATAAAAAAACGATTGACATTATTTGCTTACGCCTTCAATTAAAATTAATTGTTTTTTTCCAACACAGGCAGCATTGAGCTCCTCAGCGCCATCACGAAACACTTTTGCCATTTCATAGACACGACGATTTTTCACATCCTGCGGCACATCATCGACAAATCTTCGGTGTGCCGTTGTTTTCTATTTTCGAAAATGAACGATTTTAATGGATTATTTTTGTCTGACAGCCAATTTTCAAATGTGATGGCTTTTTCACTCATCCTCCAACCACCATCCATTCAAACTCACCTCTCTCATGCTGTAGGCAAACATGAATGCCATGTGATATTTTACTTCTCTCATTACCGATAATGTATCAGCGAATTCTTCCTCTGTTTCACCACAAAATCCTGTGTGAATTGATTGAATAAAAAAATATATGCGAATATTTTATCGATTGCTTTTTGATTCTTGCCTGCAGTATTGCATGAAACATTTTCTTCGAAATGAATTAACATTTTAAATGCTACCATCCATTCATTCGAAAAAAACATATAAACGTAATTAACAAAAATAGATAGTTTGAAAATAGATAAATTCAAATCTCGCAGTGTCAATTAAAAATTAATTACTTGATTTGTTAACCTTTTGATGGTCAATTTTACTATAGAATTACATGAAAAAGAAGCGAGCTGTCATTCAAAAAAAAGATACCTAATTGAATTAATTTTATTCTATTTCTGTTTACCTGTGATGAAATCACTAGAAAAACTGACACCCGGAATTACGCTACGAATATGTTTGACTAAATCCAAGTACGCTTCCTGTGTGTATCCCCGTCGCATCCGCTCCAAAACTGCATTGTTTCCCGATTGAATTGGCATATGAATATTTTTACAAATATTTGGATATTTTTTCATCATCATTAACACTTCGTCCGGAAAGTCTTTTGGATGTGGTGATGTGAAACGAATACGAACTTCTGGCACTGCTACTGCAACACGTTCCAATAATTCAGCAAATCGCATACCACCTTTTTTCGTTTTATAAACAGTATTAAAACCACTAACAATATTTGTTTCATTATTCCGTTCAGTGTCTTGCGATAAATCGCGATAACTATTCACATTTTGGCCTAAAAGTGTGATCTCCTTGATTCCTTGTTCGGCCAACATTTTTGCCTCATTTTCAATGCTATCGATTGGACGTGATCGCTCTCGACCGCGTGTAAATGGTACGATACAATATGTACACATGTTATCACACCCACGCATTATTGACCTGTTTGGATAAATGAAACCGGCAATTAAATTCAGTTTATGATGCGAGTCGGCAAGGTGTCGTTTCTGCGTTCATCTTGATACCAAACATATAACAAAGAGCTGTGTCCAGCAAGTGCGCTCTTTTTCAATATTGCGCTGGACAAAATTGATTATTTGAAAAGTAAAAAATTTGAACGATGTTCATATTGCGTCCGATTAAATTTTTGGCATAATAACAATACCGGTAATGAGTTCGAAAGGAACATATATTTTTTTACAAAATACGACATAAAATTGACTACAGCGAAGCTATAGGGCTGTGTCAACTAACAATGATGTTCGAAAAAAAAGAAGAACAAAAAAATAGACATTCTTTTGGAACTCCTAAATAAAATTGAAAAACTTGACACGTAAAAAAAAGTCGCTTACACAAATGCGGTGACAGCGTTTTCATCCAGTCGAACTGGTACAATATCAGCGTAAGTTTCATCTAGAGACAGTAGCACATTGACGGCACTTTGTCCACTTTTTGTTACCGATAAAAGTCGCGGTAAATCTTTATAACTATCTGGTCCTGAGATCACATCGACGCTTTTCTCTTTCTCAAGTAGTTCTGTTTTCAGACGTTCAGCCATGCATCCCAAAATACCAACTTGATAGTTTTTTCCAACGGATCGTCGTTTACGCTTTTCAATAGCTAACTGTCTCAGGCGATTCCAAATCTAAAACGACAGAGTTTTTGTTTTGTTATTGTAAGATGAAGTACTGATTGTTTATTTTATTTAAATGTACCTTTGACTCTGCTTTCTCCCGAATTGCACATGTCATAAGCAATACAATATCGGCCTGATCGGCTGAATCAATTTTTTGGTACCCGTTTTCTTTCAAAATTGACCATACAATTTCTGTGTCGTTAACATTCATTTGACATCCGTACACTTCGAAAAAAACCTTCCGACCTTGTCCATTGAAATCGATTTTGTCCAAATATGGAATTGTATTCTCCGGTGTGATCGGATTTGATTGGGCAACTAATGAATTTTTACCGGCAATCAAAAATTCCTTTAATCCAGGTCCTTTGGCAGGTAACTTTCCACTTGGTTTCGTCGCGACTTTTGACGAAAACCATCGATGTTGCACACAATCATTTTGAATGGCACATTGCCCACTAAACCCCTGCACCAAAGGGCAACGTATCACACTAATTCGATTGAAATTTAAATAATTTTTCAATTTTATAAATCTCATCGTAAATATTATTTATTATGGTGTAATAAGATAGTTAACTCGGTCATGCTCGTTTTTGCTATATGGCTCCTGTCAAACAAATGTCAACACCATGCGAGAGGAACATTTTCAAAACCTTGCAAATGAATGAACAACACCAACGCCACATTGTGGACAGTAGAATAATTTCTTTGATGGAAATGAATAATCGATTGCACAGCTATAAATCTGTGAGTATGAGCTAATTTCTACTTGCCATTTTTAATGAAGATCAAACAAAACAGAATTTATAGAGTAAAATTTACAAGGAAATATTCAGAAAAGTCATATCTTATTCTAATAATGAAATGTTCATTTCAATCATTTTCAACTTTCACTTTACCTTTATGTCAATGCTGTTTTCAGTCCAATACCGAAAAATGTTTGCTGAAAATTGTTATCACAGACCAAAAAAAAAAAGTTTTTAGAAAATCAAGATATCTATGTCAGGCTCGACAGAACAAATGAATCAGGATGCTTTCTATATTCAAAGCTCAAAACAATATTAGGCGAGTAACTTTTCTAGAATTCGGATGACAAGTAAGAGAATTTTGGATTCCATCAGAAGGTGTCTGACTAAAAAAGGGCTTATGAATGATTTGTTTGTAAGCGGAAATCAGATGTTGGTGATTTTGTATGACATTTGATAAGAGAATTATTTTCTTCTCAAAATTATACGGATATTTCTTTCCTTCTCTGTCATCATTCGATTCGAAAAAAAAAATTGGGAACAGATTTAAGACAGAATATTTGAACGGTATAATTTCTTTTAGGCAGCAAATCCAAAGAGACAGGTCAATATGTTTTATGTTTATCCTGATAGCTCTTTTTTTATTGCATGCTAATCCCTCAAAAGAAGAGAAAATGTCACGAACAATAGTCAACGATGCCAACACTGGAACGGACCAAATCATTGGCTAATGTCGGTACTTTTCTATATCGGAAGTGGTTATTCATTACGGTTTTGTATGTTTTCGTTTTCTTCTGTTTTTTTTTTTTTATTTGTTAATTAGGTCTCATTTTTAACATAAATTGTTGCAAAAATTTATTTGCATCCAATGAAAAAGTGATTCACTTTCTGGCTTGTTGTTGTTGACGGGCAACATCACGTGCGAATGTACGTTGTGGTGGTGTACGGATACGACGGGCTTCCTTCGATCTGTTACGCACAACTTTCGAGTGAATGGCGCATGAGACGCAGTAGTGCAACTTGGCGTACAATTTTGGGAGGAGGTAAGCTATAAATTGAAATGGAAAATCACAAATTAAAAAACCGTCATTCCAAACAAAATCGAAATTTTTGGCATATATACATACCGGTGTAGACTGATGCTTCAGTGATATCACGGACAGCAGCAGCTTCTACAATGTTACGAATAACAAACTTCTTGATAGCTTTGTCCTTTGGTACGCATCGAGCACAGTTTGTACAACGAACTGGCTTAACGTGACCACGGTTGTGTTTACAACGTCCTCCGTTACGGCGTTTCTTTGTCTGTAGAAAAAAGATTAAAATAAATACAAAAATTACATACACAAATTTACGTCACAAATGATGGCAAATTTCAAATAAACGACACACTCCAAGTTCACAAAGTTTATGAAAAAAAAAGCATTTTTCTGTATATTGAGGTTATGTTAATTTGTACCACAGTCGCTTCAATGCACTAGCGTGTGTTCACGTGTGAACGGGGAAAAAAACCAAACCCGAATCAAATGAATTTGTATCAATAATCAGAAATAAATCACCGTAAATTGATTTGAAATTATTCAAAATTGATTTTAAAAAAGTAAAATGTATGTTTGTGCAGCATACGAAAACTCCACATGTGTCATAATTATACGGCACATCATTTTTTTCCGTCGGATTTTTTTCGCCCATTTAATTTTTATTGGAAAAAAATCCAAAACACAAATTTAATCACTAATTATGTGGAATGAACGGTTTTTTTCAGATAAACATTTGTGAACTTGGAATCGATAGGTATTTTTTGTAAATTTTTGGAAATTTTAAGCGCACTGCTAAAAACACGTACCATCTTGATTGACTTGTTACTACCAAAAGAACGGAAATAGAGAAAGATGTATTGTCGTTCGCACCGATTTAGAGTTTGCCTTGAAACGGAGTGAAGTTGGCAATACAACATTCACAACTTTCACACATCGGGCGCCACTTTGCATTCGATTTATTTTTAAAAAATATTCATATATTCACATCCAAAATGAAAAGTGTCTTTAAAATGAATTAATGCAAATATTAATCTTTTATTTTGTGACTTATTTTTATCAAAATTCCATTCCATGTTCAAGCTTTTTTTTTTGAAAAACAGTCAACATACAGTCAATATGTATTCGAAAATATCACCAATGTGATAAAAATTATGAGATAAAATCATATTTTTTAAATTTAAATTTTATGCTAAAATGATGAAATGTTGAAAATTCACTTTAATCATAGCATATTGCAAATTCTTTGCTTTCTTTAATAGTATAAGCTACGCCGTTGATACTCTAAACGAAAGCATCTCTATTCGAATTCAAATTAAAGAAAAAATAAGATGAATCTAGTACTGTAATTGAGAATCGCATGTCGACACGGTGGTCAGATCATGATAAAAAGAAAATCAATGCGCAACTCTCTCTCTCTCTCTCTCTCTCGTTCACTCGTGCAATCGTTGCGATGACATTTACCGATGTCACGAAATTCAGTGGTGTTTCAAATTTCGTACAATTTAACCATACTCTCTATCATACATACTGTCACATAGCAATAAGTGTGTATAGTTAGAAAATAGTTTGGCTTTGTGTCTTACCGGATACAAACACATAATTGTTTGTGCAAAGAGTTGAACACACCACGCAATAGTGTGTTTTCAAGTGTAAACGAACGAACGCAAAGTGTATTTAGGCAATTGTTTTCATTTGGTATTTTTTTTTCTTTTTCAAAAAAACGTAAATAAAACATAAAAAGAAAATACATTTTATCAAAGTGAGATCGAATTTAGCACATTTTTCAATTCAGAATATTGTTGGTAAAGCACATTGAAAGAAGCAAATCAAATAACAAATTTTGTGTTAAAAAAAAAATAGACGAAAGCATTGTGCCGCCAGAAATCCACCAAACATTTGTTGACATACGCTGGCTTCTCCAATTGATCCGACCTAAGTCTCGGATCAATTAAATTAAATATGACTAAGACAAGCGTGTAAATCCGATTTGTTTAAATGAAATTCTATATAATTTATTGACTGTAGCTTTAACAACAAACAAACGAATAAAAAAAAACAAACAAATATATTTTCAATGCTGATTCAATAGAGTGTGATACACACACACGCGCATGGAGTGTGTGATTGACTGGAGCAAAATGTTTTGTATACGGTTTGAGTCATTCTTCGGTACAGGTTTTAGTTACACTAAAATGATTTTGTTGAGTTTATTCAATTAATTCCAATTATGGTCGTGGAGATAACGTATTGACATTATGATATATAAAATCGAAACTAGTTAGAAAATAGTTTTCCGTTGAAAGAGAAAGACACACCGTTGTGTACAGTGTTAAGTTTGTTAATTTGGGTAGAATTTTCGCGCGATTGAAGATTTCTTGAGCTATTTTGAAAACAAACAACAACAACAACAAAAAAACAATCCAAAAAAAGAAGCGTATAGTGGTAATAAATGGGAAACCGTTCGTTTAATCATCTTCATTTAATAAACGTAAGTATCATTTTATTTTTTTTTATTTTTTGATTATTTGTTGACAGTGATAACGTGATAAGTAGTAATTCAATTGCATATATCAATATTTATTCAAACGGTACTTTTTCATTTATTTACTCTTTATTAATTGCCATCGTTGCATGTATTTTGAAATAGTGAAATCTATCGAAAATCGTTACGTTCTACTAAACAACTTATTACAATAATTAACGATTCAATGTGTCATGCAAATAAAAAAAAAAAAAAACATTTCAAAATACGCGCAATTTGTACAATCGTATGTATTATATATATATAAATATGGCAATAACCACTTGAGAAAAAAAGTAGTATTGGAGAGAAAAGACACTTTATCTATATACAATTATTCTTAAAAAGGTAATCGTCTCGTAACACGGAAATCAAAATATAAATAACGTTTCGAAATTGTTTGTTCATCGGAAATTCTGTTTCAACAAAAACAATGTCACCTGCAATTTACATTTTTGCCTGCACATTTGAAATGAGTATGGTTGTATATGTTGTGGTTTTTTCCCACTGTTTTCATCTATCTCTTTTTATGTTTGAATCTAGAAAGGTCGAATTGTTCTTAATATCAAATGTTATTTGAATTTCATAACCTCTAAATATGATGTGTGCAGAGACAGAAAACTTAAATGATGGTAGTTTGATGTAATCGAATAAAAAAAAATCTCATTGATGATCTCGACGACGGAATGTGAAAAAAAAATCATTCGATGTAGGAAAGATGTGAAATGAACGTGACACCGACAGTGTTCCAAATCACAAAAAGGTACAAAAATATTTGGTTTGTTGTCAGTTATAGTTTGTTGCATCTATCCAGATTGGTGTCGAAACATATGCAATGTGTGCGAGGAAAAATTTCCAACGAGAATTCAAATTGGACTAGAATTAGTCCATCGGCATTTGAATTGTCAGACGAATGAATCAGCAACAACTTCATGCGATTTAAATACAAGTCCGCGCACTACAATCATATATCCGCTATTGTATTGACATATACAATGAAAAGGCCGTCAAATAAAAACAACGATAAACTGTCATTGTAATGGTATTGTCATTGCCTCTGTGCCGATTAGATACATGTATATGGTAGTCGTCGTAATTTATTCAACTTTTTAAAATCCAGCCAACATAGATTAGCGATAGATTTTTCACCTTTATTTCGTTTGCTCTTTTTCTGTCTATTAATTTGGACGTTCTTGTCAAATAAAGTCGACATCCACAGCCATTAAAAAAAACACATACAAAGCTACTTAAAATCGCCATTCTATCATTTTGGTTATTTTTTTTTTTTGAATTTTTCAATCAAAACAATTTCATTATGGCATCAGTATTGATCCGTGGAATGGCAACAAGTGCCGTCGAATCGGCAATTAAACATGTTACAATTATTGGCGGTGGTTTAATGGGCTCTGGTATTGCTCAAGTAAGTTTTGATTTTTCTTTGTTTGAAATCGAATCATCGGTGTACAAAGTTCATAGTCCATTTTTTGTTCTATGCGCCATTGAACATTGACAAAAAAAAAACAAAGAAAGCTGACCGAATTGCATTTGTGTTGTTTAGGTTGCTGCAACAGCTGGTTATGATGTGACCATTGTCGAAGTAAATAATCAATTGGTGGAACAAGCACAAAATAGCATAAAAAATAGTTTGGGACGTGTTGCAAAGAAACAATTTAAAGATGATACAAATGAACAAACAAAATTCGTTTCGAATGTTTTGAATCGAATCAATGGATCATCCGATTTACAAGGTGTGGTTAAAGGAACCGATTTGGTGATTGAGGCCATCGTTGAGAATATTAACATCAAACATAAACTATTCGAATCAATTGATAAGGTTAATTTTCTATACATTTTGCCCAACAAAAATCATGAATCTAAATTATATGAATTTATCGCTTGTTAGGTTGCACCGAATCATACAATTTTCACATCAAACACATCATCGCTATCGATAACCGATATTGCTTCGGTCACTGATCGCAAAGATCGTTTCGGTGGTTTGCATTTCTTTAATCCGGTGCCAGTGATGCGTTTACTTGAAATTATTCGCACCAATGATACATCCGATCAAACATTCAATGCAATTCGTAATTTTGGTGAAAAAATTGGAAAATCATGTATTACCTGTAAAGATACGCCTGGTTTTGTGGTCAATCGTTTGTTGGTACCGTATATGGCGGAATCGGTGCGTTTGCTTGAACGTGGTGATGCATCCGGACGTGATATTGATACAGCAATGAAATTGGGCGCTGGATATCCGATGGGACCTATTGAATTGGCCGATTACGTTGGTCTTGACACAACCAATAATATTTTGAAAGGATGGCATGAAAAAGATCCCGAAAATCCACTCTACAAACCAATTCCGATGCTTGAAAATCTCGTTAAAGAGGGCAAATTTGGTGTGAAATCCGGCGAAGGATTCTACAAATACAACAAAAAATAAACCAGTCACAATGAATTTTATATGTAGAATAGTGGATTTTATTTAAAAAAAACTGGTCTTCGTCATATGAATCAAGAAGAAAAAATTATCAAAAATTGTTTGTAATTTGGGAATAAAGTATAATAAAAAAAATTAGAGAAAATGTAACGATGGAATTATTCAAAATTTTGACAGTCACGACTTTCTTGAGTGAATTGTCTCTCCAATATTTTTTTTCGTCGACTAACCTTATCTGTTTGTTTATTCAAATAACGGCAAACGGTCTTATCGTCGAAAACATGGTATTTTAATAAGCATGTATTTTGAATGTGTAGCTCATTAGTTGACTCAACCTGTATGTAACCATATTAAACTCTTCATGAATTTGTGTACGATTCTTATCTTACTAAAAAAAATCGGTTTCACGTTCATTCCGTAACCGTGCCCGATGTCACGTTCTCGTCAATGAGCAAAGTATATGAATTTTTTGTATGTAGTCGTGACCGTTTTTATCCGTTCTTTGCACAAAAATGCAGACAACCAAATAAATATCAAAAATCATTGCATATATTGACATCAATTAAGAGAAATAAGCACATTCCAGACACCACATCGTACAAATCCACATTCAAAAATCATAATACTTTGCGCTCTGGGTTGACAACTATTATTACACACATTTTTGTTGTTTATTTATCGAAAGCACATTGCCGAAACCGCAGAAAGGAAATATACAGTTGGATATACTGCGTAAAAACACGTGAAAGTTTTACATTTTACATAAGTATTCAAAATTGATTCTCTTTTTTTTTCGGAAACGTCTGCTTATTATTAATATAGATTACCAATCATGAGTAAGATTAGTCAACTGATTATTTATCACGTTATTATTTTTAGATATAATCGAAACTTGCAGATATAATTAATAAACAAAAAAAACGGTGTGTACTTATTAATTGCAGGCATAATTGTACGGCCGAAATTGCCGCCATATCAGAGATCCAAACCAATTAAACGATCGACGAAAAAGCAGAGAATGATTTCACAAACGATAGTCAAAGATTTGCCGAGAGGCACCGAGCTTCTTGAAAACCAAGTAGCTGGTCACACATTTCAAATTGGAACTGATGAAATCGGTATGGATTTTTGGTAGTCGACATTTTACTAGCGAATATTAAAAAAATGTGTTTGTTTTTCAGGTATGCTCAAAGATCAACAAGATGGTTCGGTGTTGAAAGCGGCTGTCAAACCGATTTGTGGATTGCGTGAGATAAAATTTTACGAAGAATTAATGAGAGATTCAACCGAACCAAGTATCGAGCATTTGCGAAAACTGGTGCCTGAATATCGTGGTACGGTGAAAATGTCATTTCGTGGTAAAGTCATTGACTTTATCAAATTGGCCGATATAACACACGATATGGACGAACCATGTGTTATGGATATTAAAATTGGCAAACGTACCTGGGATCCAGAAGCGACAAAAGAGAAAATTTTAGCCGAAGAACAAAAATATGAGGCATGCAAACAAAATTTGGGCATTTGTATTCCTGGCTTTCAAGTATACGACATCAAAACGGACCGAATTAGACGTTTTGGCAAAGAATATGGCAAGAAATTGGATCAAAACACCGTCAAAGATGGTTAGTATTTTTACTTTAACGGTTTCATTTCACCTTCTTTGTTCAAGCAAAAGTAATGTTCTCAATTCTTTTGACCGTAGCGCTGAAAATCTTTTTGAATGCTGATACTCAAATGTCGCGATTGCTATTAACCAAATTTCTAACAACACTATGGTCGATACAAAGCTGGGCACGATCACAAACATCACTTAGGCTTTATTCAAGTTCCTTGCTACTGGCATACGATGCAAAACGATTAAAAACACAAATATTCTCAAATCGAAATCATAGCAACAGTTCGACAGTTAGCTCACGCTCATCATCAGTAGATAGCTCTTCCAAATTAACACCAACTTCGTCCAGTGGAAATGAATGGCAACCATCGCACACAAATACAGCCAATGAAATTAATACCAATCTTAATGGATGCACCAATTCGAATAATTCCAACGGCAACAACAGCGGCAGTGGTGGTGGTGGCGGCGGTGTCATCGATCACACTGTTACCAGCACACAGCCCATTCAATTTTACAAAAAATTGCAAAGAAGCCATTCCACGCAAAATAACTATGAAGAGGTATTTAAATTTGTTAATCATATTGCAAATTAAATTACATTTAAATTCTCATTCTCGTTCTTTCAAAAGGATATGAAGCACATTTGCAAAGACTACGATTTCTATTTGGACAATTTAATGGATGAATGTAATGCAAGTGAAAACAGAGAATGGGCATTTGTCAAGATGATTGATTTTGCTCACGTATTTCCAGCCGAAGATGCGTCCATCGATACGAATTATTTTTTTGGCATAGAAAATCTAGTAAAAATCTTTGAAGAATTTTTACGCGAATGTGATCAATGAAACAAACAACCAACAAACCAACCAATTTTCAATCAATACGAGTTTTTCTTATATGAATCTATTTTCACTAATTACTGTAATATCTGTCCATTGATAAATAGGATATTATTCACTTATTAACATGAACAACATTAACAACAATTTGCATTAAATTTATATCGAAATATATACCAAATCGAAGCCAAACAATTTCAAGAGAAAAACAAAATGCTATTTAAATGAAATTAAAAATATGAACAGCACATGTTTATACTACCTACTTATAGAAATATTGAATTAATTTTGTAAAAAAACAGAAACACTTTTTTTTATTTTTGAATTTACAAAACGGAAAAAATAAAAACAAACTAAACCAAATGTCCTCAGATTGGTGTTTTTTTTATCGTCTGATAGCGAACGTGAATGAGTCTTAGCCGCCGAAATCTATTCAAGGTTTATTGATATTAAAAGTCTGATTTTCAAGCTTAAAATAATGATGTTTTTATTTTATTCTCAGCATTGTTTTTTATTATTAAATCAAAATTTTAATTCTATTCTTTTCTGTATCTCCCTCAATTTTATTTCTTTTGCATTTTTTATGAATAAGAGATAAAAATGTTATTCGAGTTAAATAAGTTATTTTGGTGATCCAATCTACGTAGACATCCAATTGTTCTTAGTAAGAACTTCTTCCATTGTAGCAAAACTCTATATAGTACTTTCCATTTCGTATTTTTGCTTACGTGAGCAAACCACTTCTTTGTTCCACTTGAAAATCAATTCGCTGAACGTAAGAAGACCAAGTTTTGTGGTCAATATGTGATAACGTCCTGTATTGAAAATGAAATTAAATTTGTTAATATTTTGATTAATTCATAAAATGCACACTTGTTATTACCAATTGAGAAGGTCAGCGTAAAGCTCGCTATGAATATGAACGAGGTAAAATCTTTGTTCACCTTCAAATAATCGTCCGATTGTTTTTTATAAAGAATGGTTATTATGATGAGACTGTATACTAACACAATATACACGAAAAGCGTATATAAACGCGGTATACATCTGAGTGGATTTTTGGTTAGTCTATCCCATATTAATTGAAGTATATCATACATGAATATGCACACTATAAATAAATAAGGCGGCCAAATATTAATTTATATACGGTTGGGATCTAATCATTCCACGTCAACTTACAAATCGGCGGCAAAATCAATAATAGATATAAGGTGACCTGTTGATTAAATTCAATCGGACTTAATGCAAAAATCATCGTGTATACGAAATTGACTGTGATCATGAGAAAATGTGAAGAAAATCTCATACAAAATATGAAAGGATTTATGTCTTTGGTCTGTAAATCAAAATGTTTGAATTTAATGTTATATCTTTATGCGATCCAGATACTTTCTAATACTTACATCATCCACCAAATGATAAATTACGGTCAAGTGAGATAGTGTGGTTGTTATTACACTGATTATAGTACTGTATAGAACTGCTTGATAAATTTTAGCATCCATTGAATGTGAGTTGAGATCCAATCCATGGCTGACCATTTTATCCTTTAGCATTACAAATGATAAACAAATGACTGTTTCGGAGAGCAAGAACATTACAAGTTCCCAACATATTTTCGTCCAACGGCAAGTGAATTTCACACAGAAAATGTACTTCAATACCGGCACAGATGCTGTATGAGAAAATGGTATTTGGAATTTGAAAAGAAAACGGTCTTGTACTAATTGTTTTTCGTTCAATACCTGTTGCAATCATTAAGAAGAACCACTGTACTGCAAATGAACTTTGGAAGTAAGCATCACTTTCCTACATTTGAATGAAAACAATTGGGTTTCGGTTGATTTTATAAACGACAAAAAAAAAGAAATTTTAACATACCATTCCATAGCAATAAAAAATTGAAGCAACGCCGATTACAAGTAAATGAACAAGTAAAACACATAATCGATTGGAAATTCCTCGAATTATATTTTTAACACTTGCTTTATCAGATGTTTTCATTTTTGACCGATTACTAAACACTATTCAGAGTTTTGACGGTTGTAGATCATTCACTGTCTGAAATGAAACTAAACGTTCCAGGTGTACGATGAAACGGAGAATATACTAACAACGTCAACATTGTTCACACACATACACTTACATTTCTTATGAAACTAATGTGAGAGTGCGATTAGGGATTTGCAACAGCTGTGCAGCATTATTGCACCTATTGTTTGTATCCCTTTTAAAACAGTATGCCGGATTTGTATGATTTCCACAAGATGTCATTGTATGCATATGAAAAAAAATCAATTTTTTTTAAATCAACTTGAAAAATAAAATTGAGTCAAAACGTTGAAGAATGGCTATTTTACAGCTTCTTTAGTTAAAAACAAACTCTAAATATTTTCAGCAAATGCAATTATAATAGTTTTCTCAATGATTGAAGCTCGAAATAATAAATAGAAAACTTACAAAAATTTGATTAAAATTTTCCATGAATCTCATTAAAAGATTTGATTTTATTGTTTTCCTATTGTTTGCTGTTTTGTTTTTCGAAACTTCAAAGTGCAATGAATTGTAATGAATTGTAATTGAAAAATACAGTGTTTTCACATTGCTTCATTTACTTTATTATACGCTACAAACATATGAGTTGAAAACTGTATGCAATTTGAGTTAATTCTGATTGTTGTCATTTCACTTAAGATGTTGATTATTTTGGTTTGTCGTAAGAAAACCGTATGTTAATTTCCATCTTTATTTAGAATGATGATTATAAGTAAAAATGTAATCGATTTGTATTTTGTGTGTAATTGGACGCGGAGCATTCTTCAATGAAATCGTACAAGCATAAGTGTATCCGAATAAAAGTTTTTTTTTTAAAGTGGCACACACAATTTTCTTGGTTTTAAACGTCAAAATGAGCAAAATCATGTTTCACTAAAAAAATTGTAACACACAATTGAGGAGTGAAAAATCACATTCCGATAACTGGTGGAAGATAGTCACTGCAACTTGGAAACCCGACCGGTGCTGATCTCATTTGAGATTTATCTCCGACTCGTACAATTAATCTCATGCCGATGTACATATGTCTGACATAAAAATAAAATGAAAATCGAATTATTTAATGTTGAGTTTCATTGTAAGGAAATTACATTTCGAAATGGCAGTGGAACATCCAATATCCTGGATTTGAAGCTCGGAATCGAATTCGAACAAAGCCGCCTATAGGAACACCAATTGTATCCTTAACAGTTGGGGGATGAGTGTCATTGTAGTAAGGTGTTGTGTTTGTTTTATATTGCTCAAGTTTTCCCATATCTATTATTTGAAATCCATACCCATGAAAATGGAATGAATGGATGTCTTCAAGTTCATCTATTCGATTTAACAATATACATGTAAATATGTGAATATTCGGTACAGAGATTTGAGAGTTAGAACTTACATGTAACATCAGATAGTAAAAAGTCAACGACTTCACCGAGTTTCAGCTGAATTAAATGCGGACAAAAATGCATTCCTTCAATTGCCGTTTCATTTGCCAAAGTTGATTCATTACAATATGGTACAAATGAATCATCTTGAGTTAATCCAGGAACTGGCGTTCCTGTCATTATAATTTTATTCATGTCGTTGGCCGCAGCCCTATTTACAACCATATCAGTAGCTTCATCACGCAAAAAAAGAAGACGTTGATTGGGTTAAATTGTTTAAGAAGAATGATCTTTTCAGAAAATTACCATGAAAATGACTTGGCTGGAATTTTAGCCTCTTAGGGAAGAATCTTATTGGTATTTCTCGGTTTGGCCGCACTTCTCTCATATTGCCTCCACTTGGACCGCGAACACCTTTTTGTTTCAAGTCAGCTACACATAAATGATTTCCAATCCGACAATTGAGCGTGGGATGGTTCACTACTTGATAAAAACGAATAATAATATAAATATTGATAAAAATTAAGAAATCAATGATTATGACTTACAACAGCGTTTTGTTTGAAAGGTACATGGTAGTCGAGTTGATCCGTATAAGGTCGAACATGTGAGATGAATTTCTCAACTTTCAATTGATCTTCAACAAATATTATTCTGCCAAACACTTGCAGTTTATTCAATGCACATTTATTGAGAGCTCGAACACGTATATATGCCTCTTCTGCAAAATTGAGTTACCAGGTGAAAACGTTTATAATAATTTTGATAATACATTTTGTATTGTACTTTTGTTTCTGTCGTTGTTTGCATGAACCACAACATCGTATCTCTCTCCGGACAGCATAAGAAATGCATCAAACGTTACCGGTTTAACTGGATATCCATCGGTCGCTATAACAGTTAGGTTATGTCCCTAAATCTTAAAATTACATTTGCATGTAAAATCCCATATAGAAAAAATATGATTTTCAAATGAAAGATGACTCACTGTAAACTCAAGCGGACATCCATATGTTTGACTATTAATCAAACGGAATCGATATGATTTATTGTATTGCATATAATATGTTGATAATGGTATCACATCGCAATTCGTAGTATTTTGTTTTGGATTACAACCGTGGCCATTTATCAGAATATCATGTACTGTAATCTTAAGATAGATACCTGGAAAAAATTCCGATGCCATGTGGTTTGTCCAATTGGTTAAAATAATTAAATGTTGATCTTCATCAAAATTATCACATACACAGAAAAATTTAATTGAATTCGTCTTTTCGTTTATAATAAAACTACTAAGGAATAAAAGCAATTAAACGCATTGATGAATTCTATTAAATTTTCCTTTGCAAACGAAGTTTTTCAAAAGCCGGACACAAAAATTCAATTCTTTTTTTTTTCGAATACCATCTGATCAGTTTTCACTAAACAAAAGTCAATTATAAGCAAATGCATGTGCTCTGATTGATGCGCGTGGAAGGTTTCAATGAATCGATATGATTTTCTATTTCCCTTATTTAAATACATTTGAATTTTGAAACAAAGAAAATGAAGTAAAAATAAAAAAACCACATTTTCATAGAATTCATGTTTCTCATTTATATTGTCCATTCTCATATGTTCTCATTTTTTGATGATGTTGCGGTTAATTTTTTTCCTCACAGCTTTGCTTTTCAACGAACAGTTCATCAAAAGTATAATATTATAGTTTTTGCGGCACCAATTTGGGGCGCGTTCTTTGTTCTAATACGAAACATAAACGAAATTCCTGGAATCGAATGACTTTGGTCAAACAATGCGATTGAAATATGATGAAAGAGAGCCCAAAATGTAATGCTATGCTTGTCGGCACATTTCGTTAGCCAATGCACACGGTAAACGTATCAACAACACACTATCACAGTCGATAATCTGTGTAACCACTTGGTCAATTGATGCGCTATGCTGTGTATCTATTCCAGTCAACGCATTGATTAAACGTTTGCCAAGAGCGAGAAAGAGTTGAATGATGAAACCAAGAATTCATTTTGCCCCGATGTGTTACCAAAGTGTACGAATCAATCGAACGGGTGAAATTTTTTGTCTTTGTATTTGTACAAGTGCACAAGCCGATCGTCATCTCATCACCGAATACGGCATTCAACAACCATTCTCATTTTATCCAACAAACGAAGCGGTTTAAAACTGCAACTGTTCAATAAGCATTAAAGAAAAGAACTGCGCAATTTCATTAAATTTTGGAAACCATTTTGGTAGCCATTCGAACAAAACAAAAAAACGCGCAAAAATAATGGAAAATATCGAATCAACAGGTGAGTTTTATCGTATTTATTTCAAGAGATTTTGTGTTTTGTCGCAGATGTTAGTTTTCGGATGAAATATTCGTCTATTTTGCGCCATTTTTTTCAATTTTATAAAAAAAATACCGTTCGTTTTCGGCATCGCAATTAAAATTTGTATATCTATTTCTATCGCAATCTCTTGTACTAAAAAGAGCATTCTTTTTAAACACATTGAATATAAATTGTAGTTTGAGTTGCTTGCACACACATTTTAACGGGATTATTCTTTTTTTCGTTCTTTTTTCTTGTACGTGCACAGAACAAAGTGTTGTTCTTCAATTGAACGGCATCAAGGTTGACATGGATGTCATTGCCAAAGATGCTGAACTTGAAATGAACAACAACGAGTCCGTAAAACCCTCCGAAATCGTAAAAAAATTCGAATCAGAAAAATCGAATGAAATCGAGGATGGTGGTAACGACATAAGCGAAAAAAGTATTGAAAGCAAAACCAGTGAAGCCAACGCCGACGATGACACCGATAACGAAAACAAAACTGAAGCTGAAACGGATGCTGAAAGTGAAAATGGTACAATGAGTAACGGAGCAACAAATCAATCGAATGAAGGTGATTCGAAGGTTGAAAATGCATCAGACTCAAGTGACGATAAATCTGAAACAACGGAACCATCGGAACCATCATCGTATACAACTGGCACCGATTCAATAGAATCCGGAACATCTTCACCAAAATCATTAGAATCTGCATCGTCAATAACAGAAAATGTTGACGAAAAACCGAAAACGAGTGCCGATACGGTTTTAAGTGAAGAACGCAGCGATAGCGAACAACAAAAAGAAAATACCGTTACCGGTACAAATGAAGCTATGAAGCAAGAACAACAACAACAACAACAAAACGATCAAAGCGAAAGTCCGAGAAGCGATTCATCAAAGAAATCACCGCGAAAAAAGTCGTTGAATAAAAAACGCAAAAATCGAACACGTTCACAGAAAAAGGATGTTGATTATTCGGATTTGGACAAGTACACCGTCAGCGTATCGCAACGCCAACGTCGATACTTTTTACTTGTGACACGTGGTCGTAATGTTCCAGCACCAAGCGATGAATGCGAAATTTTCTGCACAAATATTCCGATAAATGTGCGTGAAGGTGAATTGATACCATTGTTTGAACGTTACGGTAAAATCTGGGAATTACGGTTGATGATGTCATTCCGTAATCCAAAACGAAATGCTGGTTTTGCATTTGTTCGGTATACAAGCCACGAATCGGCCCAAGAAGCCACCGAAAAGCTCAACGACTACGAAATCGTACCGGGTAAACATTTATCGATTCGCTTGAGCCAACCAAATTTGAGCCTATTCGTTGGCAACATTCATCGTGGATTGACTCGTGAACAAATTCATGAAAAAATTAGCAACCGAACTAAAGGTTAGTTTTATTTTTCTCTTTTTCTCTTTTCTTTTAAATGTCTTATTGATTTTTTTTTTGTCATGATCAATCACATCTGTGTCTTCAATACTATTTTTATTGAAATTATATGCGTAATTTTTTCTGTGTTTTTCTTCGTTTAATTTGTTTTTTACCTTTTTTCCCCATAATTTAGGTTTGGTTAAGACATTTGTCAAGAGCTCAATGTATGAAGATACAAAAAATTGCGGTTTTTGTTTCCTTGAATATGATTGTCATACGGCCGCATTGAATGCAAAACGATTGTTGAACAAAGGCAATGTTTGGGGACGTCAATTGTTCGTCGATTGGGCACAACGTCGCAAACAACCCGACGAAAACGATCTTAACGAATCAAAAACAATCTTTATCAATTATTTGCCAAAAGAGACGACTGATGAAGTTATCAACGAGACATTAAGTTCATTTGGAACGATTGAAAAGGTAACAAAGATCAAGGACTATGCATTTGTATTGTTCAGCGAACATCAAGCAGCAACCGATGCAATGAATGGTGTTGATAAAACGAAACTTGGCTGTGAAAAGGTTGAAATATCATTGGCCATGCCAAAAATGATGAAAACTAGCCGTCCACGCAATTCATCGTTCTCGTATCGTCATGCACCGCAAAATGGTCGCCGAAACAATCAATACAAACGATATCGACCATCTTATAGAACATCGAAAAAATTCAGTATGCGCCAAGAATATATGAGCCAAGAACAACAACCAGTGACCAAAAAAGGTAACGCAACAGCTGATACAGCCGTTGAGCATACAACAACAACAACAACAACAAACATTTCGATGCCAGCCATGGATCAGACTTCGGCCGAAACATTGGTCAATTAAATTCACTTGCGCTCCAGCTATTTGATGATGATTTTGATCAATCTGATGGCATTTTTGCTCATTTGAACAATTTCATTGTTTTCTCTTTTTACTCATTTTAATACGATCATCAATTAAATAAACACAAATTACACCTGATTGCAGGTAATCAAAAAAAAAAATATTTTGAAAAAACTAAAATGTAAAATATCGAAGTCAAATCTATGACTTGCATATCCAAATTCTATTTTCACTGGAATGGAAATTGAAATGTTAGAGATTTCTACTTCAACATTATAATATGATATTTTTGTTCAAACATTTATTTTTTTCAAAGAAAAAAAAGGTGCTCAATCACAAAGAGATGCAAAAAATAATTTGTTAGCTCATTTTTAATACAATTTAAATTATTGTTAGATTTTTTTAAAAGCCATTTGAAAAGACTTGGAATATAAACAAATGATTATGTAATTTATCAATCAAAACAAACCGATTTTTTTCGAATGGAATAAATGAGATATTTTTATAAAATTAACAAATATTGTTTTTTTTTATTTCAATACAAAAATTGTATCACTACAATATGCGTCATTACTGAAGTACAAATGCATTTGGTATGTATGATGGAATTTTTTTTAGATTTTGTCTGGATTTTTTAGTTTCTGTAGCAAATGGCGTCTTTTTTTCTAAAATAATTTCGAAATAATGACTTGTTCTTCTCAAATGACCGATTTTGGGAATAATAACTTTCATTAAAAATCATTTCTACAATATTTATGCAAGCAAATAGACGCCGAAAAATGTAATGAGTTGGTCACGATAAAATTTAAGAAGATCCAAGGAATGTTTTTTGACAGAAAAAGATGAATAAAGAACGAAATCGTGAAAAATATATGATTAATTACTGTAATTTCTTGTGCATCAATTTTTTTCAAATCAATTTCCATGTTGGATTTGTTCAAATTTTTCTATTAAATTTCACCATAAAATAAACATTTATTTCTAAATAAAATTTGTAGGTGTACTTTTGGCATCGGAATTTCCTTTTCGTAAATTGTTGGCGGAGATAGAACAAAACAAAAATATTTTGAATTCTATTTCTATTTTTCTCAATCAATTTTTTTACTCGCAAGACTAACAAACTCTTTGAAAGAATTACTCCTTCTTCACAACTTCATTAAAATAACAAAAAAAAACTCATTTTTAGTTTAATTCATTTTTTTTATTGTCGTGTGCGTCATATAATACGTCACAATTTTCCGAGTCAGTATATACCGGTTATGTTGACCTTTACTGCTCTGACAAAAACAACATCTAAATGTGTGTCTTTTTTCCTTCAAACAAGTTAGTTTGAACACAATCTATATACTTGTAGCAAGTTTAGATAATACAGTATCTTTTTTTAAATTTGTGCAGTAAATTTTAAGCAAATTTTTTACTCTAATAAATTGATTTGACTTGACTACATATTTATCATATTTGTTATTGTTAAATGTGAATATTTTTAGGTAATTGAACAATTCAAGACTAATTGAATAATAATAATAATAATAAATCATGAATAGTTTAGATTTTCTAACAAGTTTAACATTTTTGTTGTTGTCAATTAAAATTTCTCCATTTAATCGAATAATATAATTTCTGGTTGTTTCTTTCAATTCTTTCGAAAATTTCAAATTTTCATCAAATAACATAAATAACATGATTTTCGTGATATTTTTCTTCGTATCAAATGCATGCAATGATGAGCAACAAAAATATTCGGTTTTTTAAACTAGGCGAATAAAACTGTATTGCGAATTTTGATCTGGTGTAAATAAACAAAGCAAAAAAATATATAAATAAAAAACAGATTCAATTTCTCTACATATATATTAAATGAGGCGTGGACTATGGTTTCAAAAGAAATGTCGGTGGTTTTGATATTTATTTACAATCCCGAGCTACCCCCTGAGCCACCAAGCACGAATTTATTGTACGCGCTGTTCATTTGCTCAAGGAATATGAATGTGAGTACGGTGTGCGGTCCCAAGCGACAGAAATATGGCGTAAAACCTTTCCATAGCGCGAATAAACCTTCTTGGCGAACAACGCGACTCAATACATCCACCGTTCCACGGTATTCAGCTTTACCATCGGCCGACACTTTCATATTTTGAAGACGAGTTTTTGCAATGTCAACCGGCATTGATGCAACCGTTGTAATGAAACCGGACATCATGCTGGCCACGAAATGTAATTTAATGCCTTCTGTAAAGTATCCACTACGAACCAAATATTGTTTAGCTTGACTGTACGATGCTAATTGAGCAGCATTCACCACCATTGCACGGCCCATCGTTGGTATACAACCACGCCATAATGTCAGTACACCCTCTTCGCGTGTAATTCGTGCCAATGCATTGAACACACTCGTATAATTTCGGCGTTCATTCAATGGCAAACGTCCATCGGCCGTCATACGAATCAACGCTACCTCGGCTGGTGTTCCAACGAATGCTATAAGAAAAATACTATTACTATTTACATATCGATATAACGATGTTTTCAATTTACCTCCTGAAGCGCCAGCGATAACTCCCATTAACATTGAAGCTAATAGATTTGGTGGTCCATCAAATTTACTGTATACAATTGAAATGGAAACGATTAGCAAACCACATTTTTCGATTTATTTTGGTTTTGACGAACTTACATTTTATATGAATCATTGAGACCGGTGTATACGCCCAGACGAGTTGTCGTGTACGTTGCTTGTCGCAAGAAACCAGCACCGAGCCCCTTATAAATTCCAGTTACACCTTCGGCTTTCAATATTTTGCTCAATGCATCGAATGTATTTTTGTATTCTTTCTTACCGCCGCCCGCACCCGACAATTGCATACGATTTTTTACCAAATCCAATGGTTGCACGAACGTTGTTGCACCAATCCTAGTTGATCATACAAATTTAATGTTTAGTAATATTGATGTGGAATCGTAATTCGTCTTTTTATCGATTTTAGTGAGAACATTCGATTCGATCAAAAGTTTACGAAAATAATTAATGCTAATCATTGAAAACTGGCCAAAAATATCAAATCTGGATGCACGCGTACACGCTAAATAAACGAGATAATGCATTCTAATTATAGATTCATTTGTTTACATTAGATTTGTCCACAAGCATCTGATTTCAACTGTAGCACTGTTACACATATGTGTCGTGTGATATTTAATTCACACATGTAACACAATGTGCAACGAAATGCTGTCGTCAGTCGGTGATTTCAGCAAACAAGTGTTTACAAATTGAAATATTTTCGGTAGTGAAATAAACAATCTGTGTTGTTCATTCACTCGTGATCTGACGTCATTCAAACTCGAAACACAATTTGATAATAATCTAAGGTCTTTTGGGCCAGTTGCCTGGGGGCGACTTAACATTATCATTGTTTTTTTTTTTTCTTATATTTTAACATATTTTTGTTTTCGTCCACAATTTCCATTGATGTGTCACCGAAATGTGTGTAAAATTCCATTATGAAATTAAGATTTCGCGCCATGTATTTTACCAATGCGATTTTGAAATAACAATTAGAATAAATACGTACCCTGATAAACCTCCAAACAAGTACTTGATATATGCCGGTTTCTTTTGCTCACTTCCCATTTTGTTCTGATTTAATGTTTCGATTTTCCTTGGATTTACTGAATTGGCATCAATTAATCTGCAATTTAGAAATAATGATAACAAAATTCATTTCATTTTTTTTTAAATCGAAAATACACAATTATTATTTGAAAATAGAATTCATTATTATTCAAGGCTTAGTCATCCGTACAAATTAATGGAAATCTTATGGAATTATATTTGCAAATTGAAACGTCGACGTCAAGATTTGGACTTCGAAAATTTTACAAATGGAATTAAAATCAGAGTCAGTCTCGTCGACAGTTCGTGTTCGACTAAATGATTTCAATGTCGTCATTTTTTCAAGAACAAACAACAATATATCTAATGCCACGCAAATCAGCATTTCTTTTCCGCTTTACGTTTGTATTTGCGCCTCTCGCGCTCTTCTATCAATTTTTCTCGGTTTTCTTTTATTTTCTCATTTTCTCAATAGATGTTCTGTGTGTGATTCTTTTTTTCTCCTTTTCTTTTGACAAAACGTGATATGATTATCAATCTAATATCATTAATATTGTGTGTGTATATGAAGAGAGAAAGTATTTTTGTATGTGCTTAGGCGAGAGCTCAATAGCATCTCTCTGATGTCACAAAAAAAAATTGCGATTTTGATATAATTTTTCGGCGCACACAGAAAAGCTCGGAAAATGATGTAGATCAAACAAAATCTACAACAAACAAACGAAGAAAAAAAAACTTGAAGAAATTTGCATGCTCAAAAAACTTACAAATAAATTATTGTCAAACTAATTTTTTTTATGAAAAACTATAATTGTCGACCTTTTTTTCACATTAAATCTCAATTTAAATTATGTCTATGGAATGTAATTGTGATTTGTGGAATGTGCGTTTGGAATAATCGTCGTTTTATTTATATGTTACGTTGCTTGAATTATAACATTTGATGATAAAAACCAATAGAACATATTGAGTCGGTGGAAATGACTTTGACAAGTTCAAAATCAAGACATTTAGAGGGGTAAAGTGATGGAGCATTTGGGAAAACGGAGATGTTGAAAACATAGAAATTGATATCACTAACAAATGCTATCACATTTTCGGACTGTTTTTTTTTTTCAAAATTCATTCAAATATGAAATTTATTCTAAAAATTCGTCTAATCAAAAGTTTTTGGTTTGAATTGCGTCGCTCACAAAATTCAAATCGTGGTGAAGATGAGTTTGGTGAGATAAATTCAAAATGAGGAGAAACATTAGCAAGGCATTGTAAAATAGAGTGTGTGCATGTATTGGTGATTAGAAACGTCAAACGCACACATTGTGTTAACATTGTTGATAAATCAAAAAACACGTGAATTTTAAACGAACTACAAAACTGAGAAAGTGAGATCTGGATTTGTTAAATATTTACTTTAAAAAACTGTAAAATTTTGTTAGAAAATCAAGAGAATAAAGATCGTAATAATGTCTGAAAAAGTGGAAAATTCTACAGATACAAAGAGTGATGAGATCGCCATGGAATCGACCGTTGAAACATCAACAGAAACAAAAACAATAGATGATGTTGATAATGGCAGTGAAAACAAGCAACAGATTCAGAACAAAGAACAAGAATGCACAAATCTGGAACCAAATAAAATACAATCCGTGCAAATCGAGTCATTGAAAGCCATTGAAATGGAATCTTTTTCGGGGGCAACAAAGCCTGAAACTGAACAAAATGAAATGATCGAAGAGAAACCAGTCGAATCCATTCCAAGTAATCATCCAAAAGACGTGGAAACACTTCAGGAGAATGAGGGCACAATGGAAACACAGGATGATAACACAGTTCCACCGTTGGCAAATAAATCAAAGCAAGACACAGCCACAATTGGATCATTGGGTCTGTTGAATCAGTATGCATCATCGTCAGATGAAGATGAAGACAGTTCGGGCAGCGATGATGACAGTGAAAGTGAAGACAATGAAGACACAGATAGTTCCAGCAATAGTCAAGTTATTGAAACGCCAGCGGCTGAAGAAAAAGAATTGAACACAATTGTAAATAGCATTTTAAACAATGTAATGTCACGAGAAAATTATCGTGAAGCTGACACCGACACGTAAGTAAATTTAAATAAAAAATTCAGCTTTCTGAACAGCAATTTCTTCATATACGTGATTTCATTGTCTATCAGATCCGAAAGTGATTTAGATGATTCAGATGTTGAGTGCATTGGCAGTGTTGCAACGCAAACGATCGATATTACAAATGACGAAGATATTCAAGAGTTTCTTGATGCATGTGAGGCAAATACTTCGGGTCCTGTGAAAACAAAAGGTGAATTAGGAATGGATGATTTGCCGCCAATTGCTGAATTAACCATAACCGTTCCGGAATCGGATTGCGTTGAATTAGGAAGTATTTCAGGCATTGTTGATACTTTAGGTAAGTTAATCATCATGTAAAATAGAAATTATTTTTTAGATTGAATACGTAATAATTGAACCGTAATATTTTTTCCGTTTGTAATTCAGTGCTAGTCGAATCGTTGGCCGGCTTTGCTGCGGTGGACATTGATACCGTGCTGTTTCTTGACAAAGGAAATCGAACATTGGGTCAGGTATTTGATGTAATGGGCAACGTTGCATCACCAATTTACTGTGTTCGTTTTAACACCACCCAAGATATTCAGGCGAAGAATATAACCGCCGGATTAAAAGTCTACGTTGCACCACAAACTGAATACACAAATTTCATTGTGTTGTCCAATTTGATGAAAGAAAAGGGTTGTGATGCCAGTTGGGAGTATGACAATGAAGCGCCCGATGGTTGTAATGAATTTTCGGACGATGAAGAAGAGCGTCTAAATCGGCGACAACAAAATCAACGACAACGTAATAAAAATCGAACATCCGAATCGAATGAACATCCGCCAATGAAGGTGACCGTTAAAACCGAACCAAATTCGAATTATAAAGGACGACGACCAAAATATAATCATCGACAACCGCAAAATGGTGGTGATCAACAGCAACCGACACGATTTTATAAAGATAATCGTGGCTATGCAATTACAAATACTGATTCAAGTAATTTTTACCATCAACGAATGCCACCATCAATGCAACATCAAAATTACAGTTGGCACACAGCTCAAATGCACCAAATGCATCCATCAATGGCATCAACAAGCAATCCATCGATGATGCAATTTCCACCACCGTATACACCACAACATGGTTCGGCAAATGTTTATCCAAATCCATTTGCTATGCAAGCCAATCCAATGAATTATGTTAGCCCATTTAATTTAAGCGCTTTTCCTCCGTTACCACCGATTAACACAATACCACCGCATCATCAACCGCCACAACTTAATTCACCATATAATCGAAAAAAATCATCGTCGGCCTCATTTCAACATCATCAACAATAAAAGCGACTTCTTTTTGACAAAAGAAATCATCCACTTATTGTGATCTTTATCTGGTTGGTGCTTTGACAAAAAAAAATTTCTCTCTTCAGATTTATCCGTTACTCTATGTTTTCTCCGCCTATTAAATCACATTCATTTTTATTAATCAAATAAAATCTATTGTACTATGGTTTAAATAAAAAAAAATCTATTGTAAATGTTGTTTTTCGTTGGCCCATCTAATAGAATAAAACTTAAAAAAAGTGTATGCACAATTTTGAATGAACGGATGCTGTTCAATTTGGATAACAAGTGATGGTAACAGTTCTCAGAAATGTAAAACTGAAAGTCAATGTCAAGTTCATACATATAAGTGATGATTCTTTAATCAGAAAATAAACAAAATTCTATTTATTTTCGAAAATATTCCATACGATTCGATAAACAAACGCAACTTTTACTGATATGCAATATTAATCTGTCTCAGTGATGTAATTTCATCGAAATCAGGTCATTAACTTTACAAATATTCGGTCTGGATTGATAACACGTGATATTTTATATGGATTGAGCGCGGCAGAAAATTTAATGACTCAAAATTGGATAAACGCTTGTAATTCATTTGCATTATTTACTGAGAATTGCATTTCCTTGGAGTTATATGTACGAAATGTGACCAAGATGAAACCTATCTATTATTGTTATTCTTTATTATTTAGCAACTTTGCTACTTATTTTTTATTTATATTGGTACATTATTTTTTATCCATATTTTCATGTTTATATTAAATCTCTTTTGAATTTCTTCTCTTAATTCTATCGGGAGAGTATTGTACATTTTAAAACCCTTATGAATAAGTGAAATTTGCGCTATGTCTTCCTCATATTTTACAATCGTTAAATCATTTTTTTTTTCTTAAATTATACTTGTGAGTGTCTGTATTTCTATTTATCAATTGATTTAAATAATTTGGTGATGTGCTCAAGCACATTTGATGCACCAGTGATAGCTGTTAATAATTGCCTCACACTCATCCAATTTAGTGGTTCTAACATTAATCTTATATTTGTTCTCTTTAGTACTTTCAAATATTCGTTACCATTCAAATATAATCGAATGGCCAAAAAATATTTTTTTATCAATCGACAGATGCGGACTACATAGATGTAGAGATTCGAAGGTATTTTGTTAAATTTTTGAAAAAATTGATTAATAAAACGCTTGATTTACACATTTTTATTTTTTATTTAACAAACTCTTTGGAATTAACTTAAATTCAGAAAATAGATTTGGTTTTTTGTTGCGGCGTTGTTTTCGTTTGAATTGATGTTAATCAAAAGTCTTAAAAAAACTGTCTAACAGTGAGATAATTAAATGTCTTAAATTAACTATTTGTTATCAATACATAAAAATGAAAAATTCAACGATGGAATTCCTGGTTCGGTCAAATCTTGAGAGATGGAAGAACCGACGAAGATAGTCGTCGGAATGATCACAGCAAAGACCATGAGAAATGCAAAGCGAGATTTGGACACTGAGCTAATGTGCATACTAATTAATGTGGAAGTATTATATTTTCTCTGAAAACTGTGGAATTTTGAACAAATGAATGTAGTCACCGAATCTCAATATAGTTTTTATATTTCCAAAAATTAAAAAAGAAAAAATCAATGGTCGTCATTATTGCTAACAGGCTCTGATGAATTCTCAAATCAGCATAGTAATATTTGTTTGCAACAACAATTGCATTGGAAATTTCTGGAGAAATTATTCAATATCGTACGATGTAAGAGTAAATCGAATGATTTGACTCATGCGTGTGTTCCGTTACCGGCATATATCTATATTTATATGTATCGTATATGATTTTATATCCACCCGCTCCTCGTTTTCTCTTAAATCGTCATTCGGGTGCAATTCTTCGTTCTTTATTCGGTTTCTTCCAATTCGTCGTATTCATCATCATCGTCATGCACATCATACATATACATAGCCAATCGCAGACGTATATATAATAAAATGTTTGTCTTTTTTTTTGTCAGCGCAAACATTTTTTCGTTGTTCCTTAATTAAATAAAAATACACGCTTGGCTGTCAAATCAAGTCGTAGATACATTGCTGTTGTATTGCAAGAGGCAGTACATTGCAACCAAAGCAAGCAAGCACACTATACATTATCGAACTATATAAGTCGGCGGTGGTTTGATATTCAGACAGAGCAGAATATTTGGTCACTTCATACACACAGTGCATTTTAATAACCAATAAGGCTATTAAGTTCCTTTATCTCGTGCATAGTATTTCTGTTTTTCAGTTGTTTTTAACCGGCTAACATAAATTTGGCACAACATTCTTTGATTTTCAGTGGTTTTTGGCGATAATTTGAGTTAAATTTTCATTTAAAAACGTACAAAAAAGATTTTTCCATTATTTTTTTTTTTTTTTGTTGTTCTCAAATTATTATTGTGAAACAGTTTTGTGCTTAGACACGAATTAATTTTTTTTTAAGTGAAGAGTATTTTTGAGTGCAAGAAAAAATGGTAACTGAAATGATACACGTGGATTCACCAAACGTATCGTACAATGGGAATCAAATTACCGTCGATTACGAATACTCAATGACAAGTGTGAAAAAAATTGACAATCGTTTGGTGGTAAGTGCATTTGCATTGTTCGTAGTTTGCATGTGATATTGTATACGATAAACATATTTCAGATAATCATTTAGCAATTTTATTGCTGTGTATTATAATTTTTTTTGCTAATTTTGCTTTGACATAGGTTACACCAGAAAATGTGTCACTCACCATTGCCACCGATTGTCATGTACCGAAATTGGGCTTAATGTTAGTCGGTTGGGGTGGAAACAATGGTTCCACAATTACAGCTGCGTTGGAAGCAAATCGAAAAAAATTGGAGTGGCGCACAAAGGACGGAATCAAAAAGGCCAATTGGTACGGTTCAATTACTCAAGCGTCAACCGTTTTATTGGGCAGCGATAGTGAAGGTCAAGATGTTCATGCACCCATGAATCGTCTTGTTCCGATGATCAATCCAGATGATATTGGTAATTTTTTAAAAAATAATATGCATGAATAAAAAATTATTCATTCAATATGGAAAAATATGAATTCTTCTTGTTTTGAAAAAGAAAAAAAAAAAAAATCAAATTGTTTTTGATGAGTAAACGAATTACTTTAAATTTCACAGTAATTGATGGCTGGGATATTTGCATTGACAATATTGGCGATGCAATGCGCAAGGCTAAGGTGCTCGACGTAGCACTTCAAGATCAAGTTTACGATAAATTGTCTAAGTTTATGCCACGTCCGTCGATCTACGATTCAGACTATATCGCTGCTAATCAAGTAAGTAAACTAACCGACTATTCTTAACTAAATTTGTTCTGTTGTGCATCGTCCGTTTTATTTTCAAATATTCCAAAAATTGAATCGAAAAGCATGAGTTTTCGAAGCAATAAAACAAAATATGTCAACATGCAAGACCTGTGTTTTCTTGTAGTAAATTCATCGAAAAGCATTAATTTTTTAAATGACACCATTTCTTCCACACCAGTCGTCGCGTGCAAAGAACACAATCACCGGTACACGTTACGAGCAATATCAGCAGATTCGTGCGGATATTCGAGATTTCAAAGCAAAATCCGGTGTTGATAAGGTAATTATACTATGGACAGCAAATACGGAACGTTTTTCAACTGTTGAAAAAGGTTTGAATGAAACGGCCGCCGAATTGGAGGCATCGTTGATTGCAAACCATTCAGAAATTTCACCGTCAACGATTTTTGCAATGGCTAGTATTGCCGAAGGATGCACTTACATTAATGGATCACCGCAAAATACATTTGTTCCTGGTGTCATTGAATTGGCCGAATTGCATGGCGTTTACATTGCTGGCGATGACTTTAAATCCGGCCAAACAAAATTGAAATCGGTGTTGGTCGATTTTTTGGTGAGCGCTGGCATCAAACCCGTTTCCATTGTCAGCTACAATCATTTGGGCAATAATGATGGCAAAAATCTATCATCACCACAACAATTCCGCTCCAAAGAGGTATAAATTCAATTGTATTTCATTGAAATTTTTACAATTTAAAACAAAAAAAACTGTATATTTCAATGTAGATTTCAAAGAGCAATGTGGTTGATGACATGGTCAGTTCGAATAACATTTTATATGCAAAAGACGAGCATCCCGATCATGTGGTTGTTATCAAGTATGTACCATATGTTGGCGATAGCAAACGTGCACTGGATGAATACACCAGCGAAATTATGATGGGTGGTCATAATACACTTGTCATTCATAACACATGCGAAGACTCATTGTTGGCCGCACCGCTCATTCTCGATCTTACGATTTTGGCTGAACTGTGCACACGTATTAAGGTAAAAAAAAATCACAACAAAATTCAATGCACAATTTTGTATAGAATTTGCATAAATTATCAACATATTTGTTCAATGTCCACAACATTTAACGTGTTCAATTATTATTTCTTCTTTCAAATGTTTGTATTGTCGATTAATGCAATTTTTTACACGTGCCGCAAATCATCGTTGATATTTCAATGCAAATTGAGCCAAGATTGTAATTAAAACTACAACATTGTTTCAAATGTTTATGGATTTTTTCAGTCATTAGAAGCCAAACCACTTGTTATTTAGTTTATGCATAAACTAAATAACAAGTGGTTTGGCTTCTAATGACTGAAAAAATCCATAAACATTTGAATTAATCTAATGTCGGTCGATAGGAAAAATATTATACAACATTGTTGTTCGGCGTTTTTTGTATTTATAAATCGTGTCGATTTTTAATTGACTTTATCCTTACATTAAAATATCAATAAATAATGAATTTAGTATTAGTTCATTATTAGCCATTTTGATTTTCTAATTGATTCCAATTTGATATTTGTTTAGATCAAAAGAAATGTACCGGATGCAAAATTCACGTCATTCCGATCAGTATTGTCGTTATTGAGTTATCTTTGTAAGGCTCCACTCGTTCCCAACGGTGCACCGGTCGTTAACTCATTATTCCGTCAACGTTCTGCAATCGAAAACATTCTCAGAGCTTGTGTTGGATTACCGCCAAACTCGCACATTGCATTGGAACATCGCGTAAGTTGATCTAGGAAGTTTTTTTTTTTTAAATTGTTTGATTTTGAGAAAAAAAAACCTTTTCATTGCATATTTTCAGTTTGCAAATTTAATAAACGACAGAGAGCAGCCGGCAAATAAAAAGGCCAAGACTGGTCCAGCCATTATTGCCAATGGTAAGCACTAGAGCTTACATCAAAATAAGCTAACCATGCTTACATCAAACCTCAACATAAAGTGTATATGTTACAAGAAGAGAATCGCATTTTTTTCCATTTGGTTTCACATTGAATATTAACATTTTATTATATGGTTTTTTTAAAAGATGTAGTCTCATATAAATGCTCTCTCAATAAATGACAACATATTTTTGTTTCGAGATAAATATAAATAGATGCATGTATTATATTTTATATCAGTACAATGAAGAAAAAAGAAAACACTTTGTTTTTTTTTTTGTAATAAGCTTATGTTTTATGTATCATTCAATTTTATTGAAAATTTAAAATTCAGTTCTACATTTGAAATAAAAAAAAAACACATACAAGTCAATTTCATTCATTTTGACTAAGTCAGAAAAAGAATCCCATTGATGACTTGAATACACTCTTTAACAAATAAAAAAATATATATACAACAGAATAATAAAGAAATAGTTATGCTATGTGAAGAGTAAATATTGTGCTACCTGACTCACTATGTGTATAATTTGATAAGCTATGGCCATTATTGAATCACGTGTGAATTTCGTGTATTTTTTTTGTCGTATTAAATTTTTGCAGAACCATTTTTGTTTCCTTTTCATTTTTGGCATAATATAAATTATAATCAACTAGTTTGCCAGAAATGAAGAACATTAGCGGAATAAAAAGATGAAGAAGAGTTAGGCTGAAATAGAGATAGACTGAAACTGTTTTTTTTTTTTCGTTTTTTTTTCTTCACACACACATAATTATTACTTGGTTCATCTATACGATCACGTCGTTTCGAATAATTTTGGGATGAATTCGAAAGGGATTTGTTTGCACAATATCTGGATTAATCTTCGTCATCATCATCATCGGATGGTACAAATAAGTCATTCTCTTCCAAGAAATTTGCTACATTTTTACTAATAGCTGCACCAATGAATAGACCAGGCACCACCGAGCAAATAATTCCCAATAATCCAAATGAAGACACCGCGGGCATTGGCTTAAATGCACCAGTTCGATAGTGTGTCTTGCATCTAATTTGTGTTGAATTTACTCCAGACGCCAATCGTTGCAATGCGACGTATTTTTGTAATAGTGAAAACATGATTAAATCTTTTAAAAAAATGTTGTTACTCCTTTTTGCTTATCGTCGGTTGGTTTTTTTTTACTTCGTTCGTTCTATACTACGTGATATTGGTCCTCGTCAATTTGAATTTTTTTTTTGATAAGTAAGTACTTGAGTCGTTGTTTTCGTTTCGTTTTTTTTTTTTGTTTATTATGGTCTCGATTTTTCGATTTTTGTACGTTGTTTTTGAATAAGCACCCGGAAGGAGAAAACTAGTTTCAATTTAATTTTTTTTTATTCATCTATTGTTGTTGTTATTGCTCACTTGTATCGTTTTTTTCCTGGCTTCACTTTCAACACATAACTTAAAAATGTCAGGGTGGAAATTTTCGGTTCTTCCTTTCGATTTCTTTTTCGATGAACGAATATATTTTTTTTTTGTGTGTGTCTTTTTCGTTTTCAACTAAATATAGAACATAAATCTGTTACAGCTGCTAATAATGACAGGCAGCAATGTATACATGCGAATCACCAAGTATGAGAATGTGAGGTGAGTTTTCAATCGAAATGTCATTCAGTCATAATGCGACATTGAGATGAATTATGAAAAATTGACGATAGACAGAAAAAAAACAACAACAAACACGCACACAAAAACGGAGAAACTCAACAGTGTATGTGTGTGCATATGTGAGAGAATTCATGTCGCACAGTGGAGGCGGTTGACTATTTTTTTTAAACGATAACATTCGTCAAAAATGTTAATTGTTTTTTGAAATCAATTACATTTATTTTTATGCTGTTTAGATTTTCATAGAAACGATTTTTTTTTCTTTTGCCAAATACATTTTGATAGATTTGCACAAACATTCCATCGAATGGTATGTTTACGTGAACTATGACTGCTGCCATTGTTGTTGGAATTCGTCATATGTCAAATACACTGTCTTGATATACACTGAGTATATTATTATATTGTCATCGTTGTCGCCTTCGTCTTGATCGGTGTGTTTTAGTTTTGGGTGTGCTGTATATATATTGAGAGACAAAAACAGTGAGACTTCATTCGACATATATAAAATGTTTGTTGTTTTTTTATGGTAGATTTTATGAAATTACAATAGAAAATTTATTCAATGGAATCAATTCGATTAAAAATTGCGCACAACTAGTTTTACAATTGGTTGGCTTCGTATTTTCATTCTTAAACAGTGTACGTACAATTGCTTTGCATCATCAAGTAAATAATTATGCCCAAGCGCAAGCGATTGTTTATATGCGATCTGATACAAAGGCGGGAAATCGGCTCATTGGGTCGCGATGAAACAAAAAAATTTATCGAAGCCAGCACCGGCATTGCTGATAAATTACTAGTTCACGATAATGTAATTAAGGTAAATGCAACACTTTTATTTTCAAAACATTTTTAATCATTGCATGCGTTCAGCAGTGGCGTATATAAATTGATTGGAGTTGGAGTCTTAGATTAAGAGTTTGTGTGTTTTTTGAATAACGGAATTTCAAGTGAAAAAAAAGAAACTTCTATCGAATTTTTGAACAAAATGTTGGTTTCCATTCTTTTTTGAATTATAGACAATTCCATGCATTGATGATCGATCCAGATCATCTTATATGGCAGTCACAAATAGTAAAGGTAATTGCACGTCTTCACAAACATTGTTTGGTATTTCTTGTGGTTTTGATTCGATTTTCAATTGAATTTTAATTTTTTTCGTTAAAATATCAAAGGCATTGCTGCAATGACCCATTCAAATAGATGTATCAGCCTAATCAACACCGGTACCATGAAACGAATAGCCGAAATTGATGGTCTCACACGTACAGTGTGGACGCTATGTTTTCATCCACACGATTCGAATCTTTTGGCAACTGGAGATTTGGGTGGAACAGTTTGTGTCTTCTATGGAACGGTAAATTTAATTTGTTTCCTTTTTTTATGAATTCACAAATAATTTTGTTCATTGAATGTTGATTCTTTTCGTTCGATTTTTCGACAAATGCAGACAAAAATGCGATCGAGACTGAACGACAGTTATCCAATCACCTCAATCAGTTTTCACGCTAGAGAACCGCTCATTTTTTATTCCATTGACAATCGAATCGTCATATGGAACTATGAAAGTGACGTTAAAATAACCGATCTCTTTGCGATGGAAGAATCGCGTATAAAGTAATTTGAATTAAAAAAAAAAACACAAATTTCGTTGTATTGAATAAATGTTATTGTGTGCTTTTACAGATACGTAAAGTATAATCCCACCAATGATATGCTGATAACTGGAATACGTCGCGAAAATCAGATTTCATCGTTTGGTATCAACGATGAACCGGACGAAAACCATGAAACAAGACTAATTTCGTGCTCATCGTTCTTCGATCATTTATTACGTTCGTTAAGTTCAATCATCGATAACATTGATCCAAACAGTTTTGTAAACCTCAGCCATTATTGGTCACACATTCAAATACACACCAACACCTATTACAATGCGCTCAGAAGCTCCTATAAAGTGCAATTACAGCCAGTGAAATTCGTAAGTTGATTTTTTTTTGCATCAGTTCAACCTTTGACAGACTTTACACCACTGAGATTACTACATCGTTAATTTGAGTAAAACATTTTTTTAATAAAATTCGGAACTTTTCAGGAATTTGCGACATTTGTTGGAATGATATTCCGAGTTTGAAATGAAAGAACGTCAAAGACATGGACCCCAATGTTTGAAAAAATCAAGTATTTTTCATAAAAATCTACAACTTTTAGATTGCATCATTTGAATTGCTCCGAAAATTATCGATTTATATGAAAAAATGCGGTGTTCTCAAACTTTTTGGCGGCAATGTACGTTTTCAATGTCAAAATTAATTGGAAAGTTTCAATGTTTTCATACTTCATTATCGACACTTCTTAATAAGTAACTTTTTACGCTAGGAGGTAGACACAAATTTTTACTATAGAAAACTAAAAGTATACTAGAATCTACTAGAAGCTACTAGAAGAATATTTGTGAACAGATGCTCATATTGGTTCTTCGACCGATCCATACAAAATACATTTCCAATACTTTTCTTAAGATGAGATTAACGGTACATTTTTGTAAACAAAATATTTGTCTTCAGTGGCAACAATGGTTTCTATTGTTCTCCGTCAGTCTTCACACTGGCAATGCGATTCATTTGGCTCAATACTAAAAATACTAGCAGAATATTTGCGTTTTTGTTTGTATACTAAAAGAAACTCAATACATATTAAATGAAACTAAATATACTAGAAATTGGTGTCTATCCCCTAGTTTTTACGTTATCTTCATTATAAACGATTCCCCGTTGGTCCTTCCTTGGTTTTAAAATTCCTTAGTTTTAATTTATATAATTCCCATCAAATACAAACATCTCAAAATCTCATGAAAGCGAAAAGTTCAATTAGCGAACTCTTGTGAAGTATAGAGTAGTCATGTGAATTTTATAAAAATGTGTGCACATATTAATTTACCATTTTCATTTTCAATTCATTAGATCGGCGACTTTAATATATCATTGTCTTTAATGCAAGTGCGTGTGCATCAAATCGCGCGCATGGTATTCCGGTGTGATAACTTTTCGAATGACGAAATTTTGGATGAAAATTCGAATTTGGTTGACAAACCAAATTATTTTACGATACGCAACACATTAGAAGCAATAAAATACATTCTTCAAATGTATAAAAATGAAGTTAAAAATTTTAAATGTGTGGATCATTTCGAATTTTCAACACTGGCTGATATCATTGTAACCATACATCGAATACTCAATCTCAATGATTTATCGAATTTGATAAGGTAATATAAGGCGATTTATTACAATCAGACATTATATTGAGATATTTTCAGCCAACTGGATCAAGGAGCTAAATTCAGGCGCTGAAATGTTGTGAAAACAATAGAAGTGATTGTTATGGTTATAAAAACTCAATATAAATGTTTTCACTCCATTTCAGCGCCTAACTTTAGCTCCTTGAACTGGTTTTACAGCTGGCTGAAAATATCTCTCCCTATCTATATATTCTTTCGTTTGTATAATTTTCTAAATCAACAAATTTTATTTTACAGACAAAATATTCAACGATCAGATATGTATCAATATAGACTGCAAGCATGGAATATGGAAAATATGGACGAAACCTATTTGCCGGATTTTTCACAAAGTACGTTCGTAACACAAACATCAATCAAAAATACAAATCTAAAAAAAAATATTTTCATAATTATTTTCAGATTGGCGTAATTTAATAACGTATTGCTACATTCACAACGATTCCACAGTCGAGCTATCAAAATGTGGTACAATGATTGCTTCATTTGAAGTGGCCAGCTCTAGAAAGATTATCAGTAAGACATCAATTTATTTTTGAAATTTTAAAATTGATTGCAATTCATTTACAAAATCATTCTCTATTGCAGCTGTACATAGTTTAGAAAAGTCGACATTGGGCCAATATATTTGTTCATATATATTAGATAGTGACGAAATTTTGATGTCATTATCATTTTCACCGTCTTCAGAATACTTATTAGTTGGAGTTCGTTCGAGCGAAATTTTCGGATGTTTTTTGAAAATAATAAAAAATCGTACACAAAATAGATTTAGCCCACCGGTTTGCATCAAATCAGTTGACCAAGAAGTAAAACGGGAACTATTTTCAGGAGGTAATTGCCACACGTCGATGTTTGATAAATTCAATTTAAGAACCACTTATTTTTCTATTTTGCAGGTGATGCCATTGTAATGCTAAAACGGAGCCTTTCCAATCCGGATGTAATTAGCTATTTAAAATGGTCAGCACGATCTGGTGATGGGGTCATCATTGGTTATAAGACTTATCAATTACGATGTCTAGTGCGTCGATAACCAAATTGCGTCTTAAACTGAATAAGATATAGGGTGATCATAGTCGTAGTTATTTCCTTTTTAATGGATTTTCATTTTAAATTGACATTTGTGCAAGCGAACTGAATATTTTTTTTTTTTAATTGTCACACTTATTTTAAAATTGTATCAAAAATGATTGTGTATCATTTTGTTTTTGTTTCAATGCATTATGTATTATCCAGTGAGAAAGTGCGATTAATTTTAGGGGTTTTCGTTTCGATTCTTAAATTTGTATGGTCAGATAGAATTTACATAGGGAAAAAAAACATATAAATCCGATGCGACACGAAAATATTAAATTATTAAATTCTTATGAAACGATAACGATAGACAGAAGATATTTTAAAGGCGCCCTTTAATTGTATATGATTTGATTTTGATGCTGTTATAAATTATTAGACACAAATACACATTTTAGGATCGAAAAAAATTAGCGTAGATTTATTATGGTCCTCTTCATTTTTCTGATTGTGATTCATTTAGACTGAATTGCGTCTTCTTTATCTTAAGAAACATTCAATATGTCACATTTTTTTTATTCAAAAAAATCAATTCAAATAAAAATTAATAATCAGAAAAAAAAAACTTATAGTTTTTTGCTTATTTTGAAAGGACTGGTTGCCATAAATGGTTAATATTATTTTTCAGCTCAATTTTAGCCAAAATTCTTTTGTATATTAACAATAAAAAAAGTCAAGAAATAGTTTATTTGAATTTTTTATTATTTTGCTGTGTATTTCAAAGAATATTTAGCTTGGAAAAAAAGTTTCACATTGAATATTCACAAAAATGTAGGCACACAATTGAATTTTCTCTTCTTAATTAAAGCGAGTAAGAATACCAGTGAAATGGCATCTTTTTAAAGATTCGTATTATTCGGTTGTTTCCTGAATTTCGGCACCGTTAATTGTTAGTTTATGCAGCAGACCATCATGCTTATTTCCACTGTTTCGAGCATTTAAAATAAAGACATTGCCATCTTCTTCCCATTTGGTCTCGGTTCCACTGTCGGTAAATTCACCCTGAAGAAAGATTGCAAAAATGTCACACAGAAAATAAAGATCTCAAATAAGTGTCATTACCTCTTCTTCACGCACTGTCCCATTTAAATATATATTTAATGTGTCTTTTTCTATGGAATAATTCACAAAAAAAATAAAAAAAAATAATAAATACATTGAAAAATGCACGTAAAGTAAAACACTTTACCTAAAACGACACGGTATTGAATTTCATTAATCGTGGCTTCCCAAATGCGCAACCCTTTTGCTTGACGTTGTTTATACTGATCAAGCGGTTTACCTAAAGTGGCCAAAAAATGCAATTTTATAGGAAGGAGTTTTGAAAAAATTCAAGCCAAGAACATTGCTTAAAATTGGGATTTGATGAATGGGCTTACCATCTACGAATAATGAGTATTTGTACTTAAATCCAGGTGCTGGATCAACCTAATTAGGAAAAAGAAATATCAAGTTAAAGAAATCCACACTGTTCAATATTTTCCTCGATTTTCAGGTGTGGATATATGATTTCGATTTTGTATGAGAGAAAACGAGGAGGGTACCAAGTTAAAGGACCAAGATAAAAGATTAAAGTGTAATTACGTTGTCAGTTGAAAAATGATCAAAAAAATAAATGTTAAAATCATACTCGAAGAATACATCGCAGGTCATCCAATTCAAAAATGTCATCGCCAACCAATTTAAACATCCAATCACGACGAAAAATTTCCTGCAAATTAAATAAAATCGACATGATTTTAATTTGAGATTTAAAAAGTGTTTATCATTTTCTGAAATATAACAGGTATAAAGCGAATACCTTTTCGTTTATCCAAAGGATTCGTCGTCCACTTGTTGTGCCATGTTCAAATTCAATTTTGTGTAGTTTGCCACGTATAGGAACATGCCATTCAGCAGCCACTTCACGGGTTTCGTACTCTGCGCCAGTGTCTTCGTTAGTTACCGCATTGCTGGCAGTGCCATTTTGACTGGTGGTGATTGTACCATTCTGAATCTCATCCGTTGATGGGACTGAAGTGTTAACAGTTGGTGATGCCATGCCCTCAGTTGGTGTTTCTTTCGATTTTGATATTCCAAACAAATTATCCGACAACCACGACATTTTTCGTTACACGAATCTAGCAACGGCTGCAAGCACAACCGACAGAAAAATTGTCACTAAACAGTAGAAAAGTAAATTGAAAGGGAATTTTCCACCCTAAATGAGACCGCGATTTTTGAAATCATTGTCATACTGAATAAATTATGGATGGTCGTCACGAATCGATTGCCAAGGCACAATACCGTATACATTCCATAAATCACATGGTGTGTGTGTGTGTGTCTTGTAATGTTTTTTTTTTGTTCTATTCCAATCACATGTCATATCGATTAGACACATTTTAACCATAGTTTCATTTTCTCGCAATGACCTTCTATCTAAAAAAACCGTAAACAATGTGATATGGACAACACGATAGATAAACTTACAACCACATTAGCTTTCCACGAACACACATTCAAATTGAAGATCTATGTAATTTGAATTTTTTCACCCCTTTCAATCTTATACAGACTTCATAATTCAGAAGGCGGTTGAATTAATTCGATAAAACTCAATTTTGATTGGATTTCGTAGAACTGGATTATTCTCTTTCTCTTTGAATTGATATTCGAAATAAATTAACATACTTTAATGGAATTAATTTTTTTTAATTGATCATGGAATCGATAAATTTGAAATTGTATGAGCAATTTTAAGTTTCGTTTGCTTTACGGGTCCGTACGGTTTTTGGTAGGTTTTTTTTAACAGAATGGTCGCCAAATTAACTTTTTGGCTTCCAAGAAAATAACAAAAAGCATTAAAAAAAATCGTTGCATTGATGAAAGTGGTGGATCGATTTTTTGGGTTGGGGGTAGTTTTTTGAAACTTCCAGAATTGTAAATAAACTGAAAAAGGTGACTTTTTCAACTCATTAAAATGTCGAAACTACTCGCAAACCCACCAGTAGATGTTGGACCATGTTCAATCGATATATTGTAAAAAACTACTCCTAATCAGATATTATATTGAGATATTTTCAGCCAGATGAATTAGCCCAGCCAATTGACGTCAGGCGCTGAAATGTAGCGACAACAATGGAAGTGATTGTTATAAAAACACTTCAATTCTTACAAAAACATAACAATCACTTTAATTGTTTTCACTCCATTTCAGCTCCTGACGATAGCAGCCTGAGCTGATTCAGCTGGATGAAAATATCTCAATATAATCTCTGCTCCTAATTCAAAAAAAATTGATTCAAAAAATTGTCCATATTCTGTACATTGAAAAAATGCCATTTTTGACGTCGACCGGCATCATTGTATTGCTGTGCCAACATTAGTTGGGTACCATTCGGCAAAAGAAATGAAACAGATAAGATACCCTCAAATTATGTTAAGAGCATTTGAGAACATCTATAAATTACAAACAAATCATAAATTTGGACATTGGTAGCATAGGTCGCATGGCCGCCAAAATGAAGAAAAAACTTTTGCTAGAGTTTTTTTTGCAGACATTAATGTAAGCCAACAGAATCAGCTCAGGAAGATAATGTTAGACGCCAAAATGGTGTGATAACCAAAAATCCCTTTTATACTAGATAAAATTGGTTTTGGATTTCCCATTTATTTTTGGTCATGTCCTCCCATAGATTGGCAGAACTCAAGACAGGAGCTATTTGTTTAGTTTCCAAATTAAAAAAAAAATCAATTGCAATTCGCAACAATTTATTGAGTTTATATCTCCACAGAAACCGAATATGTGTTTGCACTCAAATACCAAACATCTGATATTAACGTTTTACATGAATGAATATTTCCCAACACGGTAGATAATTACTATTAGTTGGCGCCTATCATTTTTCTTTCAGGTCAATAACACAGCAATCGAATGCCTTTTTAAAATACTACATAATACATAACATATTTGAAATTGCTTCGATTGTATTTCAATGAAAAAAATTCACGATTTTACGTAGTGCACTTGGTCGTTGTTAAAATATAAACGGTCACAATTCGGCAAATATTTAAAATGTTTACGGCACCAAATAAATCAGTCACTCACCACAAACGGTCCAAAGCATTTATGTGACAATGTCAACGACGTAAATGCCACGTTCAAATGTTCACTTAAACCGACTGCTATGGCAATCGATATGGCTTATGATTTCAATTTGATGTATAAAACAACACTGAATGTGGATGAAATGTTGTTGTAAAAAAAAAGAGAATATCAAAAAGTGGAACAGGTACGCAGTATATAATAAAATCGTTAGAACATACCGTGTGCCGTCATTTTCATGCGCTTTTTCCGTTTTCTTCCGTTTATAGCGTTCACTTTCGGTTCGATTATCCACACATCAAATCGAGGGAAATACATTCATTGCATTGTATCTAATGTTTGGTGGTTTTTTTTACTATTATCACACATTCATATCGCACATGAAAAGACGCGCTATAGCTAAACTCTCGAAATACTTTTTCAAACTTCGAATATATCGGATATGGGATATGTTTAATTGGTTGATCGTATGATTGTGTAATTAATTGACATGCTGCATTTTTATTTCGATTTAAAATGAGGACAAACACAATATCGAATATGCCACTTTCAATGCAGTCACACACAATTTGAACACACCGAGACGCTGTTTAATTCACACAAACAAGTGTTCGTCACAATTATATTCAAGTCCATTTCGAATCCGAAAATATACCGTACCACACACACACATATACCGTTCACAGCAATCGCAACGCTAGTTATATTCAGAATTGATAAATGGTGCCCATATAGTTACCATATAAACAAAAGTCTAACAAAACAAATGCACTCCATGGAGTCTAGAATATAGAGAGAAATAATTGTGTGTGGTAGTGTAATATTAATTTTGTTCATTGATTATTATGCTGCTCATTACATTTTTCATACCTTCAAGGAGGTACGGTGATCACTTAAAGGGAATGCGTACGCTCGTTCGTGAGCCGTAATTTCCATGCGGATTATTTGTTTTTATGGAATTCGTATTTTGTTCTGTTCAAAGGCAGAAAACTCTATTGTGTTTTAACACAAAGTATTTTACAAACAAAGAGCAAACGAAAAGATTAGACCAAAAAAGTTTAACAGGTATATTTATCGAATTGAGAAAATATTTGAGTATTTTGGTGTTGGTCAATAAACATATTGCGGTTTATTGCGAATCGGCCCCCTATTCTAGCGTGATAATTTGCAATTTTTTTTCTCTCGCCTTTTGTTTTCCTTGTCATGGTGTGTTTGTATAACTAGTATTCCATTAGATGTTTAACCATATGATCTGATGTGTACACATGCCGGGCGCGCTCGCGCTCATTCACATTTACGCGTCTCTCCCAATTTTAATCTATTTTAACTTGTGTTTTGCTATTTTGTTTATATTATATATCAGCGTGGCTCGTGCTGTGTGTGCCAGCGCCAAAAAAACACACACCACACATAAGTATTCGTTCATGCGCGCATTTACTTAGTTCATTCGGCTATTCGACACCAAGAACATCGTTTCGTCATTTCATTCTCATTCATTGTGTATTTTTTTTTGCGTTTCGATCTCGCAATCGAATATAATCAAATCGGAACATGATTTAAATGAAATTCAATACAAGCAACAGTTTTATTTTGGTGTGTCGGCGAGTACAGTGAGAATTTGAAATTCTTTTGTTACACATATGGTAATGTATATTTGAGAAAAGTGGAAACAACGTATAATAACGGAAACTCCCGATTATTTCAAAAAAAAAAAAAAAAAAAAAAAGACGAAGAAGCAATCAAATTTAATGCTTCATTTTTCAACAAAATCACGTGCATATTGGAACCGAGTTCAATTGTGACAATATGTATTGATATTGTACATGTTTCGGTCGACATTCAAAATGTATCATCATTTTTGTGTGAACGTGAGGATGTGAAACAAAAATCATTCTGTATTTGGCATATTACATATGAAATAGTTTGGGCGTATATTATACTGAGTCACTCTTCAAAGAAATTGACCACAAAAGCCAAAAAAACACAAACTTTTTCTCTTTGCTCAAAGTCAGTCTCGATCTTCCTTGATAAACGGCATAACGTCATTCTCACATTTCATTGCCACAAATGTCAGTAAAGAGTACACTAAGACACTGGTCTTGTTTTTTTGAATATTCTGCGAAAAAGATACGGTTGACGCACTAATGGGATCAAACTATATGGAAATGGTAAATGATTTAGCTTGGCCTGCAATAATATGGATCATATTATATATATTTTTTGAAATAAATATCTATACGTTTTGCAGCTATGCATAGTGTGAATAAAGTGTGTGCTGTTCTTGTTAACACCATTTGCGTATAAATTCGAAATCAATTCGTCATGTTCAATTGTTATCTATTCGTTTGCATTGGAAAACATATTCGATTTTTCGTTTTCTCCTCATCTCCGTTCGCGTTCTCATTCAAAATGAAAATATAAACAGTAAATCACAGAGTAATCTTAAAAATTAAAATCAATAAAAAAGAACCCGAAAAAAAATTACGTAAACCGTCATCGAGACGCGATCCAAATTTAGAAAGCGTAAAAAATCATCAATCAGACATCAATAAAGTCCTACATAATTTTCGTAAATAGTGTAACCGAAAAATTTAAACCAAAAACAGTAGTTTAACAGTTGAATCTCATTCATCTAAGCGAGCGATTGCGCGCGCAAACCCGCATCAAGTTGTTAAAACAGCAGACAAAGTATTTGAGCTGGGCTTTTTTTTCGCCGCATCTGCACTTGAGCGTAATACAAAACAGATGCAAATCAATTAAGACTACTGTATGTGTAATCAGTTCAACACACAGTTTACAATTTTAAATCGTTGTATGTTTACAGTAGCGAAGGCTTGTTTTTAATGCGTGTAAATGCTGTCGTTTTTTTCGCTCTTTTAATTCTCTCGTTCCCGACTCGATTGTATTTAAACGTCCAGAAAAGTGTTTGAAATGAGCGGGAAAACGACAGATGAAAATGTGCATGAGGGGGAGAGTGAGAGATAAATAGAATAAAATTGATTCTATAAATTCAATGCGCAATTCAATTGAATTGAGTGAAGAAAAAAAACTATTCTATGAGCTCATTTCGTGATGTTTTTGCGTTGCGCACGGAACATTGAACAATACGCGGTAATTGTTTGTTATTTTCCATCGTAATTTTTTTTTTGTTTTGTTTTGTTTTATTCGTTCCTTTAAACTTTTCATGTATGTGCGCTCATAAGATGAAAAAGCAGACTGATCAAATTGATTTCATTCTAGTTGAGTAGTTTCTTCGCACGAAAATCGGTGGCAAAAACAAAAAAATTGCATAATATATTACATAGTTTTGTTTTATGAACAACGAAAATGAAATAAGCAATTTTTTTTAAAGTGTACACATGGTGAGCGCAGAAACGAATTAAATCTGCGCGAGAACAGACGGCACGACAAATAAACGTTTAATAATTATTGTTCACCAAATTAGGTATTGTATGTGCGGTCGATACGAAAATGAATAGTCGTCAATTAAAGATCCACGATTAATTCAACCGATTAATAAAAATCACGTTGTCATTCAAATACGACACAAAGGTATATCGCACATTGATTTAAATTCTTTTTTTCTTCTTATTAGAAATGTTCTACTTCATTTTTTTCGTCATTAATGGTGGATTGATAAAGTGATAACCAAAAAGTGGGAACGAGAGAGAGAGAGAGAGAGAGAGAGAGAGAGAGAGAGAGAGAGAGAG